AAGCAGTGGTATCAACGCAGAGTACTCACCAAGTAATGCTTAGATTGCAATATATTCAAATGGTCGGGAAAATATTACGCACAAACAAGAGGACTGGCAATGGGCCAGCGATTGGCACCCGTGTTAGCAATATGCTTCATGAGCAAAGTAGAAGAACCGGTGCTATCCCGAGCCCCGCTTATGTATCGTCGTTATATCGACGACTGTTGCATAGTCACGTCGACAAAGTCCGAAATGGACGAATGTTTCCAAATACTAAATCAACAGTCGAGATACATAAGTTTCACGAGGGAGGAACCGCGCGACGGTTGGCTACCGTTTTTGAACACACAACTGATGCTGAGCAATGGAACGGTTCACGTGAAGTGGTTTCGTAAAGACAGTAATAAGAACATCATCTTGCACGCAAAATCCGCACATCCAGAAGCTGTCAAACGAGCCGTCGTACGTAATATGATCAAAACAGCGACGCAGATCTGCAGCGGTAATGAGGAAAGGCAGGAGTCACTGAAGCTGGCAGCCGAAATTATAGCCTCGAATGGATATGTTATGCGACACGGATGTTCGAAAAGAAACACTGTAAAGACAGGCGAACAAGCTACCAATAGAGTACCATTATGCTTGCCTTTTATCTCCGAAAGGGTCACTGCTGCAGTCAAACAGTGTCTGATACAAGCACAGCTTGAGAAAGATGTCGTCTTAGTTAACATCCCGCGAGACAACATCAGAAAGCTGTTAATACGCAATAGATTGTACGATAAAGCTTGTATAACAAGAAACTGCGTTGTGTGCCCATACGGACAATTCGGAGATTGTGCGAAATCTGGTGTTGTGTATCAAATTGAGTGTGCGAAGTGCTCTACCATATACATTGGTGAAACCGGCCGGCCACTAGGTGTGCGTATCAGTGAACATCTAGCTAGCAAAAAGAGGCAAAGCATGATTAGTCCACTGGGAAAGCATAGAATGACCGAACATAACGGAGTTGATTACGATATCAGGTGCATAATCTTGGCCCACGAACACCAAATTTCCGCACGAAAAGCCTTAGAAGGATCCTATATTCTTGCTCGTGAGCCCAAACTAAACAGCAAGAATGAGAAATTATCTATCACGAGTGACTTAATGCCGTATCTGTCATACTGTAAACTATAAGATTGTGTGCCCTACTTAAACAGCCCCACAGTAGCTTGGGTGCCCATTTGACATCGCACTCGACCAAGCACACCCGAAGCGGCTGTTAGCTACAACATCGGTGATATACTTGGTGGGTGAACCTTCGCCCTCAAACTCCCTGCCTTCACTCAAGACGAATCGAGTGGCAAGTCGGTGGAGATATTTGGCGGCAGAGATCGTGTGTATCAATGTGATTGACGCCTTTTCAGCCCCTGAAGACGGCGTCTTGCCGAAACGTCGGGTAATAAAGTATATCATCTATAGCAACCTGTTACGGCAAAATATAGCAATTGAAATTATTCATCCTCAAGAACATGCCGAGGTTCAAAGATAAGAGGACTTACAACATAAATAGGAGTTATCTTTCAAAAGGATTTCGTTTCTGCTAAGCTGTTCTGATTCTATAAAGAATTCAGAAATCATTCCAGATTTATACCATCAACGTTGCCTCCTCATTTATCTAACCTCGAGTCATTTGTAACTTAATATGTGAAATTGCACACTAAGCCCTGTTAGTGACGGCACCCATACTAGTAACTTCCCAGTAAAACATTTTCTAGCCTCACAAAATGTAGAAATGTGTTCTATTGACTTACATATAACCAACTAAAACAAAAGAAGCAAGGAAACAAAAAGAAATCACTGGAAATGAGCAGATTCTAGTTTCGCAGTTCGTCAGTTAACGTGTAAAGTGTGCACTACGTATATTAAGTTACGAATGACTCGACTATTTCATTTGTAGTTTCAATAGTTCTGCTTTTCAATAATTCCGCGACATATTCTTGAAGGGGGGGAGGGGGGGGGGGGGGGAAGGGCCGGAATGAGAGAACCCAACTATTTCTTGTATCCGCCATAGCCTTCATGACATTATTTTGTTCTGTAGATCCGTAGCTAAATAAGGAGGGGATAGAGAAAATGAATGCAGTATAGCTTAGTTATAGGAGCAGTATCACAAGAAACTATGGGTAGAAACTCCTAAGGTTTCACAATTTGATAGCTTATTTTACAGAACACAAGGCTCATCGAAGGTTCACAACTAATGAAAGGATGGTCGCAACCTGCCTATGATCTTTTATTCAAGGTAAGTTAATTCTAATTATTTAATTGTGAATGTGTGCTGAAATACCCAAATCAAGATTTGATCTTTTTGGTCTTTGGTCTTTTCGCCGAGTACTGTTGCATATCCAGACTCCATATTGATTTTCCTCTTGCTTCTAATTTGATTCCTTCGGAAATCTTTTTCTCATAGCTTCTTCAAAACTGCAAATCGAAAATTTTGCGCCTATAGTCTCGGGTGTGGGGATTTCATAATATTGGGTCGTTCCGAACGTAATGTCGCTTTTTTTTTCAAATGAACACCACAGTTAATAGAACAAAGATTTCTAAAGTTTTTGGTGGGATTCGATGCATTATTTCATCTTCTTAAAAACAGTTATAAAATCATTGCAGCACAATCACTGAGCTCTCGGAAAATCCGCGACCCATGCTTTTTGAGATGGTCAAGTCCAAGTAACGATTTGATAGAGCTAACCTTAGGGACACCGTACACCTTTTTCTCTCTTTGAAATACAGCCATAATTTTTCAAACGTTTTTTCAACAAAGCCATCGGATTTTGGCAGGCCTACGTCAGTCATTACATCAAAAGCCAATAATTTTTCGGAATTTAGAACTTGCAAAGGAATTTAACACTGATTTTACATAGCAAATGAGAGTTTGCAGGTTCAAAATATCAAATTTCGATTTTTTCGCTTACAACATGGGGCGCATTCAAAAACATGAGTTATGATGATTTTGTCCCCGGAGACTCCACGAATCGGAAACAGTAAACATCCGTTAGAAAGAGGAGAAAAAGCTGCATCGAACAGCACCCGAGCTGCTCTCCTTTTGATGTTGGAGGTTTTAATTAACCAAGTAAGGAAATTGGTAGCATCAATTAACAATTTTTAGAAGAGTACGACAAACTGTGGAAAGGAGAAGAGATTGTTCTGCATCCTGTTGGAATTGCCCTTGGACTCCCTCGGAGGGTTGATATAAAAGTTCAGAAAAATTACGAAACTTGCCCATCTCAAAAAGCATGGGTTGCCGATTTTGGTTATTTTTCGAGAGCTCACTGAATTGCTGCAACAATTTTATAACCATTAGAAAGCAGATGAAATGCTGCCCGAACGCCCCCGAGGACTAAAATCTTTGTTCCACGAACAGTGGTGTTCATTTGAAAAAAGCGACATTACTTTCGGAACGACCTAATATTTGGCTTCTTGTAAAATGTACAACTCTCTTCTCTTTGTGCAACTCGGAGACATCTTTGTAAATCTTTTTTTGTTTACCCCTCTTTGTTTCGAGTTCGGTTTGATTTGGTTCCCCCTATCATAGCAACTTCGGCGAAGCAATTCTGCCTTTACTTTCCCAGTTTTTTAGTGCTTAATATCAAGAATGTGCCTCTATGAACAGGTAAAAGAAGTTGGTATGGAAAAACCATAAATTTAGAATTCAGAATTCTAGTGTACTCAGTTTTTGAGGACCTTCGCATTATAGTGGGGTTTTTCAAGCTTATCATCATGCAATTACTCAATCATTCTTCCCTCATTAACTGACTTAACTTTTCTAAAAATTGTTCATTGTGACATTTTCCAAATTATAATGAGCTCAGGTGATTATATCAAAGAGGAATATGCCTAGACTTAAGTACCTATATTTTATGGTGGTACGGCACTGGCGCAGACAGCTCAAGGCGCATCCTCGGAAACTTTCTTTGTTTTTGGGATTTGTTCGGACTAAGGTTCGGATTATTCTCTACCCTCCTTCTCATTTTCTGCACCCAAATGGATGAGCTATACGTTCTTGAAGAATAATTAGTGCACATTGCTTACATTATTTACTGACCGTAATGAACAGAGATTTGTTCTCTTGCAGTTTAAGAGTAAAGAGTTTGGTCTATGAGAAATATTTAGGTTTACGTGCATTCGATCAAAAACCCAGACGAAATTATGGAGGGAGCTGTACCCGAGGTTAACGAATCTGGACCCTATACGTTTAGTAAAACAGTTACAAACAAGGTACTGCAGTAGCTATCAAGCGCTTGTCTATTAGCTCGGAAAATCCAGTGTACTGTAGGTACTCTCGCATAAAGATGGTGTTGTGAAATTCAAACGGTTCACGTCGTATACCTTCAACGAAAGCGAATCATGCCAGACATGCATTCTGGGAAATCGAATATGGATTCCTAATATGATTTATCAGGTACGTCATTCACGTTTGAGGGGCAGTTTTTTATGGGAGTAGCCTGGAGTCTATAAGCAAATTCAACGCACGCAGATACTGAATGCCGTTACGCTCGATTATAAATAGTTCGTGTTTATGAGAGACAACAGACGGTGAAAGGAAAGTTTGAGAGACGCAGACTGTGTCCTACGCGCCTTCCCTCTCCGTGCAATGAACCGGTTTTATAACAAAAAGTGCACAACTCAGAGCTTTATTTAAGAAATTCGTTGAAGCAGCTTCGACAGAAGGAATGAAAGCTGCTGTTGCCACATTGGTATCGCAAACTGCATTCCTCGAAGTGGAAGTTGGAGAATTTCTGTTCGAAGGCTATAAGGATCCTTTTCTCGACAAGGTAAGTAGTCCATTCTTGATGAAAACGAACACACTGCGCCTGTTCCTTTTTCTTTTGACAAGCCTCTTATATAGAAAAAATGTTAGAGCTGCTCTCTGTACAAGCATTACATATATTATAGATGATTTATCAACTGGTAAGGAACTACTCTATGACCAAAACTCTCCCAAATTTCTGAACGCTAACGGGCCCGCTTGGAAAGAGTACGGTAATACGTCATAGTGATTCCTCGAAATTCCCAATGAGTCTCCATTCGAAAGCAGCGTCCGGGCAAATTTTGACTTTCTTTTGTTTGTGCCGGGCCTTTTATGACTCATGGTTTTTATGATTTTAAATTGAAACTTAGCGGGCATAAGTACCAGTACACCAAAAACCTCTTTTCTGCGCTCATTTCGTGAAAACCGTGACTAAGTGCCCCCAATACGTTGGACTGTATGAGTTCCTTGTAGTGCCGTGTGAAAACGTGTCAAGGGTAAATAGATTTCGTTCAAGGGGCGGGCGGTACACCGCAATAGGCGGTACGCGCACGGTTGTAATGATTCAATTTCTCCTTTTGGAGGCAGGATTTATAGACACGACCTTATAAGTGATGCTTGAATGTGAAATGCAAAATTTCATCAAAGATACTTTTCTAAAGCAGGGTGCCCATTTTTGTTTGGTGTGGGATAATACTTGAATATCGCGATAAAATATTTCTTTACTCTGTTAATACTCATTAGGTAGAGTTGGAGGTTCATAGAATTTTTATCTCTTCATCCAGAAATTTTACCTCAACTTAGCGGAAAATAAGTTTTGCATTATTTGGAAAACTACCATTCACCATTTATCTTTTTCTCCATATTACAGTTTAGGTCTGTACACTCCCATTCATGAACTTTGTATGCGAGTCTATTCTGGACGTGCCTGAACGCATTGGATTGTTTTTCGAGGTAGGTTTTTTTTCATTTTCAACTTCTCTCCATTACGAGATTTGTGCTCTTATCGCTATTTGTTGACAGTCCAACAACACGGCTGATGGTGTTTACGAGATCTCTGATGGGGTGGAAAACTCCAAAGACCTTGGACGCATCATAACGTTTAATGGGAAGAAATCTGTGGACTATTCATGGTATGCGATGTACACTGTATTTCTAAAATTATCCTTGAGCTAAAATGCTAACTGCAGGTGGTCGAGTCCCAATGCAAGAATGATTCGTGGAACAGAGGGAATGCTTTTCCCACCTTTTTTGAAGAAATCTGATAAAATTCATATTTTTATCAGTTCGCTCTGCAGGTGATCGTTGAAGTTGAGCATTTTTGGTGATTTAGCCTTTTCCAATGCTTCTTTCAGATCCGTATGGTTGGAGTTCCAGAAGGAAGTAGAGTACAAAGGCGTCCCTGCCTATAGATTTATGCTGCCAGCTGAGGTCTTCGATCCTCACGTTCCTGAAAACGAGGGTTTTTGCAATCCTACTGATAAGGTCCTTTTACTCACTTCACTTGTTGCTGAAACACATTCTTTTTTTTTTCAAAAACCAATTACAGAAGTTCTTTGCCTCTCAGAATGAAAGCGATGATTGTTTTCCTGCTGGTTTACTGGAGATAAGCAAATGCCAACGAAGTATGTTGAAATTTAATTGTAATGGTAAAAAAAACTGCAAATTTTTTGATTTTGATTCATTTTTTTGAAGATATCATGCAAAATAAAGCTATAATCCGGTTTGAGGTTAATTTTTTGCCATAATTTTGGGCTAATAACCGCAGTTAACTGCTAACAAAATAATCTTCTGAAGAGGATAAAATTCATGTACCGCCACATTTATCGCATTTGGCACAGATTTTTAATGTTCAGTGAATATGTAAACAGCTAATTTTTAACGGCTATTATAGTGTAAAAATTCTTTGGACTAAATTTATATGTAGATACTTTTTGAGGTCGACCGCCTATCATGATATCATTGCCAAATTTCAACTTCGCTAGTGATGAAGTGCGAAGAACAGTCAAAGGCTTGAATGCTACAGATCCGGAACGCGATATAATTTTTGTCGATATTGAACCGGTAAGAAAATACTGAATTTTATCAAAGAATTTTATACACACGTGAACTTTAAGCAATTATTTTACTTTCAAAAATATTTTTCTTGGGTGTTTACGGAGATTAGACTTGCTTTTGTAACATATTTGATTTGCAATTTTAGCGTTTGGGGGCTGTTTTGCGTGCTCATCGACGTTTCCAAATCAATGTCGAAATGTGGAAGGGTTTGAACATAACTTTCCCGTAAGTATTCACGAATCTACAAGTCCACAGCCATTAGTCTGACCATATCCGCTTAGCATAAACCTGAACAAGACTCGCTCTTCACTGATTCCTGTGCTGATCATCCACGATGATGCGGAGATTGATCTGCCAACTCTGAACTATATCAAGGATAAGCTCATTCGAGTTGAATGGTGGGCACACTCGACCACGACGGCTATGGCTGGAGCTGGACTAGCCATGATGCTCATTGCTGCTGTATATGCCTTGCTAAAGGTGAGCAATTTTCTTTTTGAAGCAATCGCTATCGTTTTTGACTTGACGCATATAGTGTTTGACCATTAAAGAGAATGATTCATTCTTGCTTTTCTTTTTCCTACCGTAAAAGCATATCTTTGCCTTGGCGTCTCTTACGGGCCTTTAGTATCATGTAGACCTGGTTGCAACTTGTAAAAGTACAGAACGATTCGCCGAACGGTATCGTTGCTGTAGGATTACGTAGAGACTTCAGCTCTCAGCATCATTGTGAACTGGCTGCCGTGAAGAGCCAAAAAATTTAAAAACTTGACAAAAAACTTTGTGACATGGCATTCAAACACGCTGAAGTTTAATTCTACCACTTAAATTCAGGGGCTTTAACCATATTTTTGAGCATTGTGTAAACAGCAGTTACCGTATATCTGGCATAACTGTTGGAAGGAGGGGGAGGGAGTTACGGTGAAGTCAATATCACTACCAGAGTTAGCAACCTGATCGGCCTGGTGTGACAGTTTTCAGACAGTTTCAATCCGTTTCTGAAACAAAATCTAGACCGTAGTGACCAGATTCTTTTCAACATTTTCACCGTGATCCTACAGTAATGAAAGCGATTGGTAACTTGTTCTATAGTCCAGCTGAGTTATAATGCAGGTAAAGTTTGGAGTCAGGATCGAATGAAAACTTATCACTTAGAAGTTGGATATTTGCGAAAAAAATCGACAGGGCTGCAAATAGGTCATACCAAAATTGCGTAGTAGTACTAAGACCGCCAAGAATCGATTTCTCATTCCTAATCAATTCAATGAAGTTTGAAGCCAAAAACTTTTTACCTACCCCAAAAATCACTCTTTCCAGACTACGATCCCTTGCTGGTCCTAATGCAGCAGACACATGTGGTACTCAACAATGCATTGCTGGGTTTTTTCCATTTGAGATAAAAATAGCCTAGACCGGAAATGCAAAATATAACTTTTTCGAAGATGGGGATCTAGTGTTGAACTTGGGGTATTTTTTGAGTTCCAGAGCACATAAAGAGGTACAATTCTAAGATTTTAATTATAAAGGCTTGCAGTATGCAATCATGTGTAGGAGGAGCTGAGGCGGAGTCTGTCATTTGTAAACTTTTCCTTGATTTTTATGCGCGAAATAAATTCAGCAAATGCATCACTTTGTAAAGATTGCTCTGCTCTATCGAATAGACTTTTGATAGGACAACAGCAACCGTTTAATTTAATCAGAAAAGGGTCTTTCTTTGGGGCAATCCAACATCGCTATTGTTGATCCCATTGATTCCATCTTCACGCTATGTAGAAATCGTGGAGTGCTAAGTGATTCTATATTTTCAGTCGGATCTAATCTGGCCGTCCAAGACTGATTCCGTGTCACCATTGCCGCCTTACGAGCCACGAGGATCGCCGATTAGCTCAAAAACTTTCTTCTAATATAGCAGTTTTTTAGACTTCGAATTTGTTTTCAAAGTGGCTTTTATCTTGAACAATTTGACATTTGCTGAGCCTTACTTCGGGTAGGAGTACTCGCTCACACTAAGCTTTATCGATCTGTTATAGATTCCCTTTTTGTGATACTGAATGTCTTGCAGAGAGATTTTCTATTTTGTTGTTTTCCGTGCCCAAATTGCGGCAAACGTTATTCTCCTAGACGTTCAGTAGTCAAAGCTGCCCAATCCTTCCCATTTTCCTAACACGGACTGTAAATGAGATTGTTGTTATGGAGTTGTAATATGTGTATGCTTCGCTCACATAACTGACTTCTGATGCATCAACGTGATCTGTTCCTGTAGTCACTATGTGTATATATAGTCGTGTATTACCAGCTCTAAATTTTTAGTGACAAACGGGTAATCAAATATCACAATATCTGTTCAATGCTGTATAACCATGTGCAAATGAATAAATGAAAGATGTATTGAATGAAATCACAGATGTAGAAGAGAAGAGTCATCATCTTGGTCAGCGTTTCTGTAATTGATGTTCGTATACGAAGTAAGAGTACTGCATTCCAGAATCATGTGAATCCTGAAATTATCCAGATCAACCTTAGGCTTGTTCTTAGGCTTAGCTCCCGCCTTCCATCAATGATTACGCTAGACTATAAAGTGTTGAATCAAACGCATTGTGCTTTTTAAAGAAGTAAAAGATTAACAAATTTACGACAAGGCCAATTTTTCGATTATTGCCGATTCGGTCCAGAGCCTTTCTCGTTTTGTCAAGCTTACGACCCACCCGTGGGTTGTATTGTCCGAAATGATAGTCTTTTTGGAAGAAATTCAAAACATGTCTCCGAGAATTTCCCCACAAGGGAAATCGGAGGCTAAAGGCTTATCGAAGTCGCTGATTACCAAAATATGATTTATTTCAGTTTTTGGCAGTATACGGTAAGCTTACGGTAGCCATTCTGTACGAGCACAACATCATGGCTTTTCATGAAAAATTGTGTTTTGGGGTTATTCCACGTGCTAATCACGACTGTAGTGTTCGCTTTGTTTACCACTTTCCCACGGTGGGACTACTGTAGCAGCACGGTAGAATTTTCGTGAGAATCAAGAAACTGATGTAAGAAGGCGGTATTAGAAATTGAGACTATCACTTTCGTAATCAGCATGCTAAAAAACCTATATATGTAAGGTTTGAGCTACCTGGGATGAACTTAAAAATCAATGAAATCAATAAAGTTTTATTTGATGGGCTGACATCAGTCTCGTGCCCTCCCTGTATTTCTCGTGCATGTAGACTTGAATTTTGAAAAACAGTACCACTCTGCGAAAAATTTGAGCTAAAGTCTGTGCCTTACCTCTATCTACGCATACCTACCGTAATTTTACATTACAGTACCCCGAACCCGGACCACTCTGGCTGGAGCTTCGCCAAGGTGTCCCCAATCATGTGCCAGAATCCCGTAGAATTCCATCGTATACTGGCAAAGCTAGAGCTTCAGGAATCTTACGCACCACCGGTGGGTCGTATTGTCCGAAACGGCAAAACACGTACGACCCAGCGGTGGGTCGCATTGGCGTGTATATATGTGTTAAATATCGACGTAATGAACTCAAGTCCATTACACTAAGCATGAGCTTGGGCTTAGGTTTAGGCTTAGGCTTAGACTTAGGCCTAGCTTGAGCCCTTCATTGACGATCAAATAGGAGACTAAATCAGCATAATGTGGCAAATAAAGAACTAGGAAATAATATCGGAGTAATGAGAACAAACCTATTACACTAAGCACGAGCTTGGGCTTAGGCTTAGGCTTAGGCCTACCTCCAGCCCTTCATCAATGATTTGCAGAACTAAAAAATGGAAAAACATCGAAGCAATGAATTCAAGTCTATTACACTAAACCTAAGTTTAGACTGGGGCTTAGGCTTAGGCTTGGGAGACTGAATCCACTAGATTTACCGTAAGCCTAAGCTTAGGCTTGGAATTATGCTTAGATTTAGACCTTGGCTTGGCTCCTGCCTTTCCATTATAAAAGGTAAATCATAACTCCATAAAGAAACAAGAAAATAATAAACATAAAATAAAATGGCGATCTAATAAAATTATGGGAGTTATATCGAGTGTACAGAAAGTACTCGAGCCAAAAGTTTGATAGTGAGCTTGATAGAGATGATTATGGTAGATTCTAAAGTGTTAAATCATGTGGAAGAATTGAAAAATGGAAAAATGGAGTGAAGTAATAAGATTGAGCTCTTTACATCAAGTGTAAGTAGGAAACTACAAACGTTTTGCAAAGCTCCCTTCCGAAGACTTGTAGTAAAATAGCCTACTTGTTGTAACATTGTCAAGCTTTGGAAGGGAACCGAATCGTCGAGTGTGTCATACCTGAGATACAATCTGACACAAGTAGTAAATTTCAACTCAGTTTAGGCGGAAAGTGGACTGGCGGAAGTTCGCTTCGCAACAATTCGCGCCGCTTTGCAATCTTCTCTCTTCATTCTGATCTGATCTGTCTCGCTGAGCCAGTGGCGTTACGGACGCGCTGCTCCGCTTGGAATTCGTCTATTCTGAGTTGAAAAAGACTGTAGAATGTTCTGCACAAATTAGACAACTTCCACAAAGTGACTTCTTACCGCATATTTTTCCTTTATATCAGCGAGCTTATCTCGAGAATCTGGGAATTAATGGGGTTACAGGCTACCAGGTTTAGTTTGTAGGCGTTAGGCTCAGGCACACTTCAACCACTCGGTTTCAGTCGCCGCGCGATCTGCTATTGCCAGGTGTCTTCAGCTTCAATACGCGGAGACTACAATCGCATGTTATGTACAACTTTTGTAAATAAAATGTTCTATCTGCACATCCAGAATGCGCTTTTGATGACTTATGAGCACATTTGTATTGCCAAATCGCGTTGCGACTGAAAACGCGTGGAGTATGCCCGGGGCCTTATACGCGCCTCTACGCTTGTTGGGAAGATATGGTAACTAATTGTTCTGATCGCGGCGAATCGACAACGAAAATCACCCAGTTTTTGAACGACGAGATGTCAACACCACTCTCGCAGCACGTCGCGGCGGTGCACGCAGACGTCATCGCGCATCATTTGCGCTGTACGATTGCCCGCTGCGACGCGATTATCGAATCGATTGTGCGCGATATCGCTATTCAATCGCGGCCACGGCACATGCGTCGACAACTCCCGTCATACATCTAATTCTTATGCATTTTTTGTCAATATGCTCCTCTATTAATGTCAGCAGATTTTTGTTTTATCGCATAGTGTCCCTCACGTCACGATTTCTCTATTTTGGCTATTAACACTGTGCTTTTGTAGGCTTAAGCGTTGCAAAATTGAAGATGAGGGATACATATCATTCATTCTGACAATAGGGGACTCGAGAACACTCTGCGCACATGTACTCAACAAGTTAAGACTTGTTTGTTGCCTTATGCTGAACGGCTTAGCACCTTACATGAAGGGAAAAACAAGTTAGAACCTGTAAAGCAACGTCTGCAACGTTTGCTTGAGTCTTTTCGTCTTAAAATGAAAGATATTTGTTGGTTGTTTGTGGATGGACTTACACGCAATACCTCTCCCCTAGAATATCGCATCTGACAATGCGACGTCTGACTTGCTCCGAGCACGCCCCACCCTTTGTCCCCCCCCCATCCGATATCGCGTTCAAAGTCAAGACAGTCTGTACTTTCCAGCATCTGTAGGACTTCTCCGTTAATAAAACGTAGCGATAGCCATTATTATGCGTCGTGGCGAAAAGATATCGATCGTGAGCGCATTATCGCAGTGGTCGCATGCAAGCGTGCGAATCCATTATTCGAATACATCGGCGATCTCGCATTCCCATGCGATACGTTTTCTCCTGAGAAAGTCATATGTGCGACGTCTGTCAAAAAAGGATCAAACCACTGCTATTGCTCTTGTAGTTCGTCGGCTATCTTCCGCTGTCGCATTTTCGCGGCAAAGGTTCCCGCCGCGATTGATAGCGTGAGATGTGCCAGTGAGTTTTCACTGCTTGTAAGGTTGTGGGTTCATCTGTTGTTTGTCGTCCATAGGTTTTAGTGATCTACGCGCATCCTTCGTTTACCTTGCTTCTATGGTAGTTCTTGATTTTTTGTCTGATCTCCGATAGAGTAACTAACTCGAAATGGTGCTAAATTTGCTATCTAGAATTCTCGGCAAACTGCTTCTAAATCGTCTTTGTATAGTATGGTGAATACTTTTGAGAAACCTTTTGAGTGTGCAAGAAAATCATGTCATCTTTGTCCTTTGTTCTCCAAGTTGCTTTCTATAGGTAGGCTATATAAAATCTAATCGCCCGTGCTTATTGTGAGTCCCATGCGCTGCTTGTCGTGTCCCACGCGATGCGCGATTCCAGTCGCCGCCACGATTTGGCAATACTGCAATTTTTTTTGAAGATCTGAGCGCATTTTGAGTACACAAAAGATAGGGCATCGCATTCGTCTACAAGTATCTGTAGATTTGTTGTCTGCGAATGGATAGAAATCTGGCAAATCGCCAAATTGTGCGTCGACTGAAATGCGCCAGATACGTGGACCGGTCAGAGGACTATACGTCAATGAAAAGGTGGGGGAGGGATCTCACGATGACATCTGCAATAATTATGCGCCTTTTACACATGCAAAAGATGCATGCTCCTTGCGATGTCCGCGCGGGCACCCTCTCCCCCCCTCTCCCACCCGTCCCTGGCCACAAGTAGTTCCCTACCCACAAGGAATGTGAAGCCCGCATCCTTCTTTACACGCAGTTATAAATTTGTCTACTCTTTCATTTTTACGAAAACACAGTAGCGAAAGGCGTGGGCTCTTATGTTTTGTAATCTTGTGCTTATCTTTTGAAACTGATTTTTAGATTTTGACCAAAATGGGAAGATTGAAGTTGACTCCTGAACAGGCATTCACCGACGAGGAGAGACATTTTCTTGCTGCAGTAATACAAGTATACCCGTGCATCTGGAACGAATGTGATCCCAACTACCGTGATTATCAAGCACGAGTACAAGCTTGGAGTGTTATCATTGAACAATTTGCAAAAACATTTGGACGTGAAGTCACTCGTAAGTATAGTCGAATATATTTGACGCTTATTGTGGTGTTCCTGGGTTGTCGACAGCATTTGTGCATAATAAATCGTAGCACACATTTTATGCGAATTTTTATGGCAGCTCGCAAGCAAGTTGTTGACATTCATAGGCATAATAATTAATTACGCGCAAATGTTGCCTTCACCACATCGGCACTACATGAGGATTAATGTGGAGTCGCGCAATAGAGATTGAAATTGGCAATTACAGAGCAACAAATGCATAAACAATATAAAAATCTGCGAGATGTCTACATGAAAAAGAACCGGGAACTAAAGGCACTATCGAACGCCGGCGAAGATCTGAACGGTTGCATAGCTTCTAAAATCTACAGCTGGCCTTTTTATCGTGAGCTAGAATATCTTAGCTCATCTGCGGGATCTAGGTTTGTAAAATTTATGGCATTTCTGCCGGAAGTTCTTTACTCACTACGAATTTTTTAGTGAATTGTCAATATCGGCTTTACTGGTTGAAGATGAGCAGTTATTCGACGCCGAATCACCGCAGGGGCAAGTCGATGACAAAAGTCAGATTGAAAAAGTGGTGCGTAAAAACTCCCTCTCCATTTTTAGGGATATAATTTTGACTTTAGGCTGAAGACAACTTTATTCCATCCACCCCCGGTTCCGAAGTCGGCACATCAGCGCCGTCGACACGCAGTCGACGCATGCGTAAAAGACGCGCCGCGAAGGAGTGCGAGAATTCTTCCTCGGAAACGGAACTCCAGGGTGCGACTGTCCAGCGTTTTTATTGCATAGCAAATGTAGAACATTCATTTAGTGCTTGAAGAAGTCCGCAACATTCTGAAGGAGTCTGCGCCACAACTGAAGCTCGAGCCCGAAGCGGATCCGTTTATCGCTATCGGTGAGCCTCACTTTATTTAAACACAGCAATTTCTTAGAATCAAAAATCCTTTCTATAAGGTTCACATCTGGCCGACCGACTGCGGAAGCTCAACTCCTTGGATCCGCTGCGATGTGAAGAAATTCGTCTGAAGATTGATTTGCTGCATGTAGACATATCAAGAGCCATACTTGAGATTCAAAAGAAACGACCAAACTTGAAAGAATGAGTGATTCTAGGCAAAATTTGCAATATTTCACTTACTCTTATTTTTATTCGGGGTATGTGCATAAAATGGTAGAGCTACAGTAGCGCTCATAATTGGTCGGAAAAGTCAACGAACTTTAGCGGAGTTCACCGAAATGCGCGTCGCATCGCCATATCTGTATTCAGAGCCATGAATTAAGAGCACCACTTGACTCAGCTTGACGAGGCGCATCCTCTGATAAATTACAGTGCCCGTTTCGATAAGCTAGATGCACGGGAAGGCGCTCAGATCTTACTATTCCTTTTGGATTTTTGCTTATGGTAGATTACTCAGTGTGCTTGCTCATTGCAACTCGTAGACAAAATTTATGAAAGATCGCCTACCGTGCACCTACCGTATCCAAATGGGCATTTACATATTCCAGAGAATGCACGATAAGCTGAGTTGAACGGTGTGCAGATTCAAAATTCGTCAACTCTGCACCACGATATGGCGATGCGACGCGGATTTCGGTGAAGTCCGGTGAGTTCGGTGACTTTTATGACGAATTACGAGCGGTGTTGTACAAGTACCAAATCTCATTAAATTGTGTATAGCTGTTTTTTTTTCTCTGGGCAACTAGAAGTGCATTGTTGACTTATGATTTATCTTGGCTGCTTGGCTATCACAAATTTCTGTCCTAGGAGAAACAATGTTTGTTGTCTAAATTCATATGAGTTTTCGTTGTAACGTGTTTATGGATAACAATGAAGACAAACTGATGATTGATCACAGTACTAATTGAAATGCATTATTACGAAATTAGCAGTCTTCTTCCGCGACTTCCACCTCCAGCTTTTTGTAGAGTTCAAACACTGCCGCCATGACTTGTCGAAAATCTGGCTTTGACTCTGTGAATATATTCTGATCGAGTTGGATTTTCAGTTTGGCAGCTAAGTCCACAGCCAAATGAGGACATACGTCTCGCTGTAGCAGCATAATACGCTCGACCTAAAATACAAAACTAATGGCACGAAAAACCATAAAATAACGTCACAAACCATATCAGGGCGAAAATGGTGTACAAGAGCGCAGAATGCTCTCCCGTCGGACCAGTCGTTTGTGAAGTTTGAGACCGAGATAGACGGATAGGCAGTTAGACTAAAAACAAGCGAAATCATGAATTTGAGGCAGAAGTGGTGGAACTTGGACTCTGAATCTCGCAAAGTCGGGTGATCAGGATTTTTGCAAAATTCGTGGAAATTCAAAACCTTGCAAAAAATTAATTCTTCAGGAGCTTGGTACGGCCCTTTTCTTCAATTTTCAATATGAGCTCGCAAAAAATTGGGCATTCAAAAAAAATTCTGTCGCTCCCTTCCTCAAAAAAATGACTGGGATCTCGCGTTCAAGCTTTTGCCCATTCCTAATGGTGAGTCCCATATGGGAGTGTACTCAAATTCAAAATGTTTTGCTAGCAAGTTTAGGTATTATGATTTAGGAGAAATGCGCTCACTGTGCTTGAGCCCACGCCAGAAGAGCATTTCTTTTGGAGTTTCGTTTGAATTTCTGCATAACTTCAAACCATAACGCTTCGTCCGGTGTACTCACGCTGCGACAAGCTTTGATGAGTCTCAAATTACCAATCATCATCATGATTACGAAATAATATTTTAACAAGCAAAGCCCACCTCGTTAACTCCAATTGAGCCTCCTCGCGACATCTTTCAGCCACCTTTACAGCTGTGATAAAATCTCGCAACTGAGCCTTGTGGGCGGATCTTTCGCTCTGAAAATTATTCTTTAAATAGCTTACAGAGACTTATTAATTTGCCTAACCTCGATCAAGGCTTCCTTTTCTTGTAGTTCAGCATTCAAGAGGGTTATCTTTTCCTGTAGCTCAGCCACACTTTTCTCGTGATTCAAAAAAGTTTCGCAATCATGCCTACCACTATCGAATGACTGAATTATCAGACTGAAGGTAACAAAGTTATGTCCAAAACTAACCTATTAGGTTGTCAAGAAAATAATGTCCGTTTTTATTTGCTTGCTTTAACAAAGCAACCAGACTGAACCCAACAAAGGGTAAGGGGTACTGTTCGATAGAGCAAAGCAAGCTCTACAAGATGGCACTCATGTCTTTGCGCCAAGCTCGATCCACTGAGAGTTCGAACTCAAAATCTAAAGATTTCCAAATGCCCAAAATATCGAAAAAAATCAGATCTTCGTCCAGATAATTTCTACGGACCTCCCACTCGCTCATATCAATACTATCGATATCAGATATCCATATGTGCGATTGGCGTATTTTTTCCTTGACTAGAAACTGAGAAAACGAAAATTTCCCTGATTTTCTCAAAGCAATGCTGAGCCGTTTCTGCATATGTAGTTTTATACTACAAGCCTAGGTAAGCATAACTGTAGGTTTTCAGCCTATTTCGAGCGGTACTTTTCGAGAAATGTCGATTTTAGCACTGAGACTGAAACGAAAAAATCCGAATTCGTTATTTTTCGAAAACTACCGCTTGGAATGGGCTGAAAACCTCCAGTTATACTTACCTAGGCTTGTAGTATAGAACTACATATGCAAAAACGGCTCAGCATTGCTTTGAGAAAATCAGGGAAATTTTCGTTTTCTCAGTTTCTAGTCAAGGAAAAAATACGCCAATCGCACATATGGATATCTGATATCGATAGTATTGATATGAGCGAGTGGGAGGTCCGTAGAAATTATCTGGACGAAGTTCTGATTTTTTTCGATTTTTTGGGCATTTGGAAATCTTTAGATTTTGAGTTCGAACTCTCAGTGGATCGAGCTTGGCGCAAAGACATGAATGCCATCTTGTAGAGCTTGCTTTGCTCTATCGAACAGTACCCCTTACCCTTTGTTGGGTTCAGTCTGGTTGCTTTGTTGAAGCAAGCAAATAAAAACGGACATTATTTCCTTGACAACCTAATAAATCTTGGTGTGTAAGTTCAAAGTGTAAAATCAAAAAGCAATGATAAAACGATATAATCTCCAGCGACCAGGTTATAAAACGCACATGTAGGCGATTTTTAAAAAAGCAAGTTCTATTCAATTATGGTGTAATTAACGATTTAATTTATTGAAACGGAAGTTCATGCGTAGCTTCAACAAATAACATCCCAAAATCACAATTCTATATTGCAAAAATATTGGGTCGTCCCGAAAGTATTTTCGCTTTTTTCAAACAATCGCCACGGTCCGCAGAACAGACATCTTAGAAGATCTTGGTAGCATTCGATGCAGTTTTTTATGCTTTTTCAAGTAGTTATCTTTATATTGCAGGCTAACAAACGAGCTCTCAGAACATTACCAAAAACTGCGACCCACGCTTTTTACCAAGGTCAAGTTTCGCTATTTTTCTAAATTCTTGTACTGATTCTCCGAAGAAGCCCAAGTAACCAGCGGATAGAGCAAACCAAGTAGGATACAAAACAGTTTCATTCTCCTTCCCAGAGCTCTCCATAATTTTTTGACGAAATTCCAAACAACACTATCGAATTTTAGCAGACCCATTCCAGACGAAGACTCGTCAAACTCTAAGAAATTCTCAGTTTTTGATGCTCTCAAAGATAGATTAAGATATATTACTATTAGGTTGGCACATAAGTAATGCAACTTTTTATATAACTTTTGTCTATTTGAACGTAGCGCATTCATTTTTTGGCAATATAAGGAACTAGCTGGCTTACCCGGCTCCGCCGTATGTTCCGAATAGAAAATTCCATTTCTCAACCGATCCGAACCAAACTTGGCACACATACACTTCGGGCCCCGGCGGGTGTCGCAGTCCACTTTTTGTTATCGATTGATGCCGATTTTATCGATTTTTTGCAAAATTTGAGCTACGGGGCTGGGATTTGGCACGGGGGGGGGTAATCGAGCATGCTGATTACGAATACAATATTAGTTTTCGAAACCGTGCATTACTTTTATCGATTTTATCGATTTTTTTGCAAAGTTTGAGCTAGGGGGCTGGGAGTTGGCACAGGGGGGTAATCGAGCATGCTGATCACCCCCACGGGGGGTGATCAGCATGCTCGGTGCCCCCCCCCCCTGTGCCACATCTCAGCCCCGTAGCTCAAACTTTGCAAAAATCGATAAAATCGATAAAAGTAATGCACAATTTTAAAAACTAATATTGTATTCGGAATCCCCATGCTCACTTACCCCCCTGTGCCAACTCCCAGCCCCGTAGCTCAAATTTTGCAAAAAATCGATAAAATCGGCATCAATCGATGACGGAAAGTAGCCTATGACACGCGCCGGGGCCCGAAGTGTATGTGTGCCAAGTTTGGTCCGGATCGGTTCAGAAATGGAATTTTCTATTCGGAACATACGTACATACATACATACATACATACATACATACATACATACATACAGACATACAGACAAACAGACATTCAGCTTTATATATAAGATATGATGTAAGCTTCTAATGCACACATTTTTGCCGAATTTTACCACCTTATGTGAGGATTACGGTAGGTTTACGGTACTATGGGAAAATTTTCAGAATGCATCAGATTTTGCTGGAACTTGGCCTATAGGGCTTACTTGACATGCTGATCACAAAAATGAGATCCGTTTCGCATGAAAAGGCCTCGTTCGTGAGATCAAAAGATGAATTTCATTTTAGCGACAAATGAATATGATATTCGTGTTTACCGCATAGGATTACCCTATAGTGCAAAGTTATAGCGAATTCTGACTTTTCGCAGCTTACAAGGGAAGGATACCAGCATTAGTTGGCAATTGAAGAGGAGATGTATATCACTAGATGTACCTTTGAACGCTGATTCCAAATCTGCTTTCCTTTTTTGCGGAATAAGTGTCCGAAAGAAGTTATGAGCGTTTGAATGTCCAGATTTGCCAAGCACTGAGTGGCTTAAAATCAGCGAAAAGCTCTGAAACAACACCTATGCGATTTCCACCAGCTTTGTTCCTTTCTTGCAAACAATATACTCGATACAAAAATGATTTTCCACTTTCCGGTGCTTTTATACAGCTTTTCGCCAATTTTAGGCCACCTAAACTTTGACAAATTTAAACATTTAAACGCCCACAACTTCTTTCGGAAACTTATTCCGCAAAAAAGGAAAGCAGATTTGAAATCAGCGTTCAAAGACGCGTCTACTGGTATACATATCATCTTCAATTGCCAACTAACGTTGGTATCCTTCCCTTGTTAGTTAATGACAAATTGCCTTGAAAACTTGACGCATTTGACTTGTTCAACTTCTCAAAGGCGCCCCACCTTCATTTGTGTTTAAATTTCATTTCTTTTTCACTGATTCCAATGTGCCAACTTCCATCTACATGCTGCCTATAACTGCTTTTTCATATGTTTGAATCAGGTTTCGTAGGGCTTCATGTTTGCCAAAAAATCGTGAAACCTCGATTTTTAGCAGTTTTCAGAAAATGCTTAGATTTTTTGTACCACGTTATCAAAAATCAAGGGGTTTGCGCAGACTTGCAGCTTACATCACGATCTACATGATGCCACAAAATGAGATTGCTACATAGAATAGGAAAAAAGTTACGGGAAAAGTTGCAAAACTTATGTGCCAACCTAATAATTTTACAAGACAAATGAGCGCTTCCAGCTTCGAAATATCAGATTTTGAATTTTTCGGGTACATCTTAGGGCGCCATCAAAAACATGAATTTTGTCGATTTTTTCCTCTTAAAGTTACGAATCAGAAACAAAAAACATGTCTCTGAAAGAGGAGAAGGTGCTGCACCGAATAACAATCGAGTTGCTTCCAGAGTGATGCTCTATGAGGTTCAAGTTGACGACATATAGAATTTGATGGCATCAAAAAAATATTTCTGAAAATTTTGTAAAGTAAGATTTGGAAGGGGCGGAAACTGTATCGTATCCTACTTGGTTTGCTCTATCCGCAGGTTACTTGGGTTTCTTCGGAGAATCAGTACGAGAATTTAGAAAAATAGCGAAACTTGACCTTGGTAAAAAGCGTGGGTCGCAGTTTTTGGTTATTTTCTAAGAGCTCGTTTGTTAAACTGCAATATAACGATGACCGTTTGAAAGAGTATAAAAAACTGCATCGAATGATTCCAAGATCTTCCAAGGATGTTTGTTTTGCGGACTGTGGCGATTGTTTGAAAAAAGCGAAAATACTTTCAGGACGACCTAATAGAAACCTAATAGAAAGTATGTGCTCAACGATATTGATTTATGCACAACTGTATATTCGCTCAATACTAGAAACTTGACCTAGTACTCTAAGGCATTACTTTGCTTTTGCTGGAAAGCAAAGCAAGGAACTTCCTCTTGCAAAATGACAAATTGTATAGATTTTTTGTTTTTGCGTTTTCATACAAAATTGAAGCTTGCCGAGTAGCGTTTGGAATACTACATGTTAAGGAAATTCTACAGATGTTTTGGGGCTTAGCGGGCACTCTAGAATTCTGAGAGAAAAATTCAATTAACGAAGTTATAGGCATTTTTGGAAGCTTGTTTTCTTAGGGCTAGCCCAATGTAAGATTGGGTTTATATTAGGTTGGTCCGAAAGTTCTGCCCCACCATTTTCAAAAAATCGTAACTCCTTCCTAACACAATGTTTTTGCACGAGTAAAACCATAATATAAAGAGCAATTCATGCACTTTCTAAAACTGCGTTGGCTGCTATTCATTAAGTTCTGAATGCAGAGATAAAATTGAAGAAAGGAATTTATTTCAATTTCGGAATTTTTAAGCAAGCCCGTTGAAAAATCCAAAACTGTGTCAGAAAGTCCGGAGCAGCAGTATCCTAAACTTTTTCACTTCCTCTTTCTGGCTGAGTAAAGTTTGCGTTGATCGAGATGTTCTTCGAAAAGTTACGATTTTTTGAAAAAATGTCAAAAAATCAATGTTCTCAAGAAACTGATTATTTGGCGTTTTTTCTTAAAAATCTTTCAAAAGAGCTCGATCAGCGCGAATTTTGTTCAACTGGAAAGAGGGGATCAAAAAGCCTAGGGTACTGCCTGTTTTGGATTTTATGGCACACTTTTGGATTTTTTTACCGGCCTTGCTTGAAAATTCCGAAATTGAAGTGATTTCCTTTTCCCAATTTTATCTCTGAATTCGGAGCTTACTGAATAGCGGCCAACATAGATTTAGAAAGTGCATTAATTGCTCTTTTCAACAAGGTTTTAGACATGCAAAAACATCGTGTTAGGAAGAAGTTACGATTTTTTGAATATGGTGGGACAGAACTTTCGGACCAACCTAAGATAACCGTCGTTAAGCGCAACCTTCTTTCAATTTTTAAATACAGAGTCACGTATCAGGTCCAAGATTTTTAATTTAATTCTGTCTACATTACATAAGAACTTTGATTAAGCCTGATACAGTGAGTTTGGACATCACTGATGATATAGACTTATCTTTTCATTGGCGGTCCTAGGATTATTCGGGACGGTGAAGGGGGGGGGGGGGGGGGGAGAAAATGATTTCGAATGCGCGACATCAGCCACGCACTTAAGAAAACTTTTGGGGTGCTTCGCAGAATTTTTACAAACCCATAATTCCAAAATTATAGAAAAAGACGGCGGCTGCTTACTAGCCAATTTGAATTTTTAAATAATTTTAATTATTTACAAATACAAAAATGTTACTTGCACATTTCTACAGCTCAAGTAAATACTCTTCAACACCCCCCCTCCTCGCCCCTCCCCAGCCTGCTCGGTCCACCTCTGTATCTTACCTATCCGTGAACGAAACTGCAGTTATGGCAGTAGAATGTGAAATCTTGGCTAATTTGGAAATCGCGCGTAGAGGGACGAACACCTAAATTAGGCACCGCCTCCGCGGGCTGCTTGTCCTTTCGTCCTACATCGTGTTAGGACAGAACGAACACTTCAATTAGGCACAGCCTCAGCGGACTACTGACTCCTGGTCCGCTGAGGCGGTGCCTGATTGAAGTGTTCGTTCCTTACCCTGAAAGAATTACCTGACTAAGTGTCAACGGTCTTTCTTTGCATGTTTTTCGCTTGTGAACTTCACCGGCGTAGCGCACTTGTTTCTTCAGCGCGTTATTTTCTGCTTTCAAATTATCATTCTTTTTCTGCATTGCTGCGCATTTTCTTTCGGTCATCAATAAGATCATGCGAATCTTAGACAATAAAGTTGCAAAATAGGAGGGCACCGTAGGAAAACTGACTTCTTCTAATTCAGCAGCAGTCGCTTGCAACTCTTCGTTGGTGTTTGACGTCTCGTTATCAAGTTTTTCATGACTATTATTTTGCATGGACAACTGCAAAAGGTGCTCGTCATACATACTTGCCTCCCTTACTACTCACCATGTCAAGAATACTTTGCAACATGAGTTTCACATTAGTGCCCTCCTCATTTTCGTTGCTGCTACGTTTTTCTAACTCCTGCACTCGAGTGGAAACTGGCACACTGCAATTTGTGCATGATCAAAAGATTGAAAGCGCTCTTATTAATCGCGGCGAATAATAGCAAGAGGTGTCAATTTCTTCAAGAATGTCCTAAGGAGTTGACAAAAATGACATTTCTCTTTCCAACCACCTCGACAAAAGTCTCAATAATTTGTTGGGCTCTTGTTCGTATGCTCAAGACCGGGTAGGAACCATAGGTCTCCGATAGGCTCCACCTCACGAGGATAGCTGGTACAAATCTGTATTTCTGTTATGTGCATGGCTCGTAGTGTGTTGCGGATGTCCGCGTATCATACGTTCCTTCCGGCGACCCATAGTCCTCTACTCCCTAAGACATAAACCTCAAAATACCTTGCGACAGTTGCGCTGTGGTTTGACAGATTTGCAGTTGAAACTCATCGCTTTTCAGACATACAAATTACAATGCACTTCATGAATTCACGAAAATCATGCACCTATGCAATTGTAGTCTGCGAGCTGGATTCGAAGATATCTAGCCAATCGCCATGCTCCCTTTCTCGACGCATAACCTTTGATTCAACTGGCTTGGCGGCTGGAAGGTGGGGCTTCGTGACCAAATCAAGGCCGCGCCCGCTACGCAGTATGCGTCTCTCTCGCGTGCGTGTTCTTTGATCTCTGATCTAGCCTTAATTAGTCACGAAGCCCCGCCTTCCGCTGCCAAGCCAGTTGAGGGTACACACGATGCTTTTTGTGCCCCTCGTGTCGCACATGTGCCCGGCCTAAACCCAAGTGCAACCTCTTCTCACCATAAGAAGAAGTCGAGTATTATTCGTGCCTTGAGAGTCAAAAGCCAAAAGCAATGTGACTGCGTTTCAATAACCTTCCACTCCTTATAGTCCCATTGATCAGCTAAAGCCAGTTTTCGGAAAAAGGCTAACCTTGGTGTGATCGGTTCTTTTCGAGCAGCAGCTACCATGGTCCTCCAGCTACGGCGTCGCCATTTTACCGGTGATAAGGACATCTCTGGCATTTGTCGCAGATATATTTCCTAGAACCGTGAGGTTGGCAGTTTCACCAACAGTCGAATTACTAACCTTCTTGTGGCAGAACCAGCTTAGAATGAATCCGCATTCAGACTGAAAAGCCACCTGGTGGTAGCAAGTTAAGGCACGAACGTACAGGTGTAAACATGAGCATTTGAGCAGTGGAAGCAGTCTGTAATAGAGCACGTTCTGTTTGTGCTCGCTTGAAAGCAATGGCTCGTAAAAATTTTCAGCACCTACATGGCCTTCTGGATACGTTAAGTCCGGGCTATGCTTGGAAAGTCAAAAAAGTGCTTTTTCGGCGTTTTCCGGTTTTGGAGATTGCTGAGGCGGGGGGGTGGGAGAGGGATTCCCGCCAAAAAACAGCGGCTTGCTGCAGAATACTGTAACTCCATCCATTCTGGCCATACCTTCGATAGTCTAGAGACAGGGCGCCAAAAGTGAAGGTTGTTTGAACATCTGACGTCACAAATGGTGAAGTTGTTCAAAGAAGATCAGAGAAGAGAATATGACGTAAAACAGACATAAAAAGCAAAAGAAACGGCTGTAAACCGTATAAAAACGCTGCACTAAGATTTGAAATCTTTCATTTGGCGGCTTTACAGAGTGCAAGTTTTCGCTCCAGGACCAGCAATTCGCAACACGGGGTTTTGATTTTTGATGCGTCCTTTGAATTTTTACCCCCGCGCCGTCCCTCTTGTACCCTGCGACGTTGTCTGGATTCTTCCGCTCATCATTCTGAGCAAGTATCGTCCAAGCTGGAGAAAATTCGTTGCGAAACTACTGAAAAAGAATAAGGTAAAGAAAAACGCATTTTTTAGTAATTTCTACAAAAAAAGCGGCATAAGCAAAGAAATAAGCTCGGCGACGTTGTCTGCATTATAGACAGAAACAAGACCTATCGACTACACAAAAAAACTGCGTGAAAAGAGTCAAACTAGGAGAAAAACGAGAGATTTTCAAAAACAAGGTTTTTGCCGGATTTCTTGTTTAAATCATAAAAAGGAGTCCTGCGACGTTGTCAGCGTGAAAATAGAGATCAAGAGCTTCAAAATGATATATAGCTTGCTAAAATTGGATTCGAAACAGCGAAGAAAAGGGTACCAGAGCCAAATGCCCCGCTCCCCGCGCTTGGGGTAGCGAGGTAGCGCGCAGCGCGCGGAGACGCAGACGAGCAGCGGAGAGAGACCAGAGCCGGCGGGGCATTTGGCTCTGGTCATTGATCTCCGCGGGGTCATAACGAAACCCTATAATATTATATATCGTTGTGATCCTCATAACACGGCCAGGAGCACTGACAACGTCGCGGGTCTTGAATCTCACTCCATAACGAGATAGACCAGCATTTATGTGGCGACTCTCTGCGCAAGATTTCAGCGCAGTTTCTCGTTTTTGTTGAACTCCAGCGGCTTTCATGAACCTCCAACGCTCAATCGCAGTCTATAGGAAGGTTAACTGATAAGTTTTATCCTAATTTCTAACTGAATTTTTGAAGAAAAACCCTCTTTTCAGCAAAAAAGGCTATGAAAACGCAATCTTTCGGTTTTTTGAGCTTTTCTTTGGATGTCACTACTATATGCCTCATTCACATTCATCCTTACATAGTTAGTCGTTAGTTATGTCATAATATCCGGAGCTTCGCCCCGGATGACTTGTACTCCTCTCCAGGTGAAGGTTGTGTCCTCTCATGACACTCAAAGTGAAGGTTACCAGAGTACGTGGCTCTATGTATCGAAGGTATGATTCTGGCGCAAATCGGCTGATCGGCATAGGCAGCCAATCGCGACTCTGTTGGCAGTCGTTCGCCCCTCCCCTCTAGCAATCTCCAAAACCGGAAAACTTCATGAAAAGCACTTTTTCGATTTTTCCACAGCTGGACTCAGCGCATCCAGAAGGCCAAGAAGAAATGATAAGCTTGTAATCGCAATTTCCCCGACCTTGCCGTTGAGGAATTGAACTAATGGATTTCAAATTCTAAGCAGCTGTGAAAATGTAAAAAGGAAAGATTCAATGTTTCTATGCCGATATAAAATGATTTCAAATTGAGAAGGCAGCCGCAAATCTCAAATGAGTTGCGGTAGGTCAATCCATTGTCAGTATGGATTTTCTCCAGCAAAATAAACAGGGAAAACTCAAGACATGTTTGATAACTGAATTCATTCCTCATTAAAGTATGTTTTATAACTCGACTTTAGTTTATAAATTTCCAATAAATTCAGTTTTGTAAATCACAATCCAAAAAATTTGAAAAATTTCTAGTTGGGAAGGTAATGACTTACTCTAAAATTAGGATTGTGCGCACGCTGCTCACTGTGTAACCAATGGTCGGCTAAGCAGTGCTACCGAGCTCATATGAAATTTTTTGGGGGAAAAATTGCAAAAATGTCGAAAGTGCTTACTTCCCCTTAATTCGGCGGTTCAAAAAAATGCCTTGTTAACGTTTCTACGCTGAAAAGTGAGAAACCTCTGCAGTTTTCACATCAGTACTGCAGAAGATTAAGATTTTCTTTACGTGACACGGAAGGGCCTATCCGAGTTTGCAAAGAAATTCTGTTGCAAAGTTCAATCTCCCTCAATTCTGTGTACAAAAGTGTTCTATGGACAAAACCTCACAACGGTTATGCAACTTTTTTGGATCAAACTCGGCTAATTTGGATATGGGGCAGTACTTTTAGTCTCTTATTTCTGAAGAATTAAAAACTAAGAAAAGAGTAAAGAACCACAAAAGAAGGTATATACGAGAATAAAGAAGAAAAGCTTTCGAAAATCACAAACTCACAAAAGAGAATCTGCTTGGAGAACGAGCGCAAGAAGAAGTGGTAAGAAAAACTTGTGTTAATCACGAATCAACCTAACATTTTGAATATCTCATAGAAACAGGTCTGAAAGACGAATGGTTAGCTACACATCTGAAGCTATCTGTTGCTTAATTTTGTGGTTTCTTGGGAAACTGAGAAAAATACCAGTATAGTAATTATTTCAAGTTTTCTCTCCTCTTAATTACGCATGAACCATTTAGACGCTTTTGATTCTCAACATCTACATTGACTTTTGCTATAGCTGTTCATGGGCAAGAAGATTTTTAGGGACTCAGAAAACGTTTATCTGGATGCTTGCCTGGGAATAACGATCGGCCATACTTTTGCAACAACAACCATAAAAAACACTGTTTTAGCAAGGTCATTTCTGTAAAATCTTGAGTTTTCACCTCGAAATCTTGCAGATTTCGCATAACTATCTTTCTTGCAGATCAAGAACATAGAACTTCCCGTATACCAGCCAAAATTTTTGAAGAGTTCTCTTCAACAATGCAAAACGTTTCGCATTTTTTCCATACGTTTTTTTAAATTCCCTGCCATTTCGCAGGAGTGTTTAAGCGGGCATTTTCTCTCCAGCCCCTGCTTTGGACTTCTCAGTAGCTTATGTACAATATTTGAGAGTAATGACGAAAACGGTGGTTTTCCAAGAGCAAATAATTGCAATATCAGCTGAATACATCGATGTTTCAATCTCCTCAGCAGGTAGAATGGAAAGTAACAGAGCCGCCACTCCTATGTAGATGACTTTTTCAGGCCCAAAAAAGAAGCGAATATGAATCTCCGGAAGAATACTTATTCTAGCCGGTCTACGCCAAAAATTCATAAGGTTAAAATGACCCTTCAGAAATCTGCAAATGAAGGTAAGGTCATTACTCTAAAAAAGTTGAAAACAACATGTTCCGAGAATGATTTGTTGCAGAAAGTTGAGAATATGAATAGAAACAAGTAGAGCAAAGATAAGGGATAAAGCATTGCAACGAAATATGAAAAAAATTGTAATGAAATTGTAATAGAGCCTTGGGCGCACAAAGTGATTATTGAGACAAGTGGAGACTGGGATTTCCAGAGAAGTTGTAATATTCCATTCTAAGCAAGAAAAGAGGCTCACTAGCTTGAGAGAAGCTCCTGAAATGGAAAATTTTGAGAGTGTACAGATATTAATGGGACAAAGGCAGCAGATTGTATATCGCAAGCAGCATTCGGAGCTGACGATCATATTGAATCATAGGTCAAAAAGCATAAGTTTTTTAAACGGATATTTTCGCACCATTTCGAATAGCTACTGCTGTTGTGGCAAAATAGGCATTTACATGAACGTTCCGAATCAATCTGGAGAGTTTAGAATTTACTAGATTAGTCCGAAAGTTCGTTCCACCTTTTCTAAAAAATCATAACTTTTTGCATTTGAAGAAATTACTCCTAAACTTTTTAGTTTGAGAGCAGAAATCATGAGCTTTACAGCACCGTTTTGGTGTGATTTGATATGAAAAAATTCGGAACTTAGAAGACAAAATAAAAAGAGAAACAAATCTCCAAGCAGAGTCACGAAAAATATTAAAAGTATTTTTATTTGAAGCCGAAGTTATAGGCATCATGGTCGTATGTACTTTTGCCGTGATAGAAGCAAATAAAGACCGTAGGCTTGATGTTCACTTATGTTTACGAAACTGAATTTTTGTCGCAAAAAATGCCGATCTTGAGAAAATTACTCATATTAATTAAGAACAAAGGTATCGTAGTAAAGCGCATGACTTTTGCTTTAGAACAAACATACATCGAAGCAATTTTATCAAGATGCAAAAAGATTGAAATTTTCGAATAAAGATGCTGGAACTTTTGGACCGAACTGATATAAGCCTGTCGAAAGTTTACTCATTTTTAAGCAAACACTCAGAAAATAGAAATTTTTTAATGCATAACATATGTAGTTGAAATCTATTGATGTTTCACATCAACGCCCCTCCCCCTCCCGTCCTTCCCGTTTCTGCTACTATTGCTGCATCCTTTTCAAGCAAATAAAGTGATCAAGAAGCAGATAGAGATAGGCAGCGTTATCGCAGTTCACCTTTGTCAGAGCAGAAGCAACGGTTAGACAAACAACTTTCTCGCTTTTTCTCCGCTTTTTACTTACAAGATTCACCAGAACCTAAGCATGTGATGACGTTGCCACGAAAGTACTCTAAAAAATTCAAAAGTCGCACAAAAGCACTCTTATCAGCAGCCTTTATCTGTACTGCCCCAGCGTGTAAACATAAAGCTTCTAGTTTTTCATTTGTCCTTCAATTGGCGGTGGGATTTCGATGCTTGCCTATATAAATTTTAAAATAATTTGTAGAGATTGCGACAATTGACTGCTCTGAAAACAGTTCCGAAATCGCACTTCCATGGATCGAGTGCGCTTCGACTCGTCGCTGCTGAAGGACGATTTGAAAGAGAAATTGATCCAGTTCGTGAACGTACGCGCACTTCGAGATGGGAAGATAAATTGGGACCATGTCTGGGTAAGTATAAACTCAGAGAGCATGCGCGCTGCACTCCGTGTTTGCGAACGCGGTCACTGTCGCAACTGCACTCATCAGGTGCGCAATGGCAAGATTATCGACGGTGCCTCTGTATTTTATGGCGAACGACGTGAAGCGGACATACAGGTGGACTGCGAAGGCCAGATTCTTTCACCCGGCTTCATCGACATCCAGATCAATGGTAAGTTTTGGAAGACTTCCTTACTGATGATCACCATGCCTGACATCATCACTCACATTTCAGGAGGATTTGGTGTCGATTTTTCTTCTATGCCAGAGTCTGATGAGGAATATACCCACAATGTGCAGAAGGTGGCGCAAAACCTCCTTAGTCATGGTGTGACGTCCTTCGTGCCAACAGTGATAACAAGCCCTCCGGAAGTGTATGCTAAGGTACATATCTATGTCGATCGACTCTATCAAGCAATTGTAGAAGTCTTACACTGTCTGCTGATTATTCTTTTATTCGATTTCCGAGTGCAGTATCAATGTGGATTGTAAGATTTGCTCCTGAAAACTGATACATTGATTGAGCCATTGCCTCAGGTGCAACGCACATTATGACGCCTACTGCATACATAATAGCTCTCCAGTAGTTCCGCAAATTCCAGAGCTCAGCCGTTGGCGAGGGGTGGAGGACATTAGGTCGCCGAAAAAGGGCGGTCCCCGCGGTCAGTCCTCCACCCGTTGGCGAGAGCCGCCTGATGCCGTCCGTACGGGACCGGCGCGTCATATTGAGGAGAATGTGTGGGAATGCAGTCCTAAAGAAAATACCGCCATTAAGCGCTGTTTCCTTGTACTAATGCTTCATTTTTGTTGTGCCTCTACAACTTACGCGCTGGTTAAAAAAGGATGTTCAGTTTAAGATAAAAATCCCAGAACTCCGTTCTGCCAGGATTTTGCTTCAAAATAAGTTTGATACAACTTCATGCTGCATCACTATCAGTTGCTGGTTACTCTATAAAATGAGGGGGGGGGTGGTGAGTCACAAGATAGCGCATTCGCGACAGCGTTTGCTCTGTCTAGCTTTTAGAATAAACCCGTCTGTTTTGGTTTTTTGGTCGTTTGGTCGCTTGATGTGACACGCTAGCATTCGTCATCCCCAGCTCTTCCGCGCTGCATCGCCTACTTTGTTCGCCATTTTTCCATTTGTTTTCGTGGTTTTTATGGTGTCTTCATTAGAAGAACTCTTGACTCTACTCTCCATGCCTGACTTTCATGGCATTGAACGATTGGCACTGAAGTTGGGAACTAATTAGTTTCGCTTTTGTACTTTTCCACAATTCTTTTTGCCCGTGTTCATTTATGCTTGCTCAGAGCAATGTTAGAAGTTGAGATCTTACAGGTACTTCCTCTACTTTATCGGCGAGAAGGCAGTCGAGATGGTGCAGGCATCCTAGGTGAGTCACTTTTGAGAGAAATTTCTTACCCTTACTCATCTTATGTCGATATTAGTAGTGAGTCACTTTCGAGGAAAACTTCTTACCCTTATTCATCTCATATCGATATTAGGAGTGTCTCTTTTGACTTTGTTGTTGGTTTTTTTTTTGTTCCTGAGAAGAGTGTCATGTTTCTATATGGTCTTCTGATCACGAGATTTTGGACATTGTTTGCTGGCAAATTTATTGAATCGCGCGATCCCGCGCATTCCTGACACCAAATCAATCTCTTTCTTATTTTAATTGCTGGTCTAAATCTATGCTCAAATGAAAGGGTTAGTTCCCCTCTTTTTCATACATCAGCTGCATAAATAATATATATGTATAATAGCGTACCGAATGGGCTTTCGCAAACTCCACATATCGTTGTTTGAACATCGAGGTTGGTGAGTCATCGCACTCGCTTTCGATCGTTAGAATGTTCAAAAGCTTTGATGCTTCGGTGCCAATTAACTTTGACTTCTGCTAACCTTCTTTCTGTGTTCCATTTTCTCTTCTTCAGTTCATGCTTATTTTGTCCAGTGTGCTTTCTTGGCTATGAAATCTGCGAGCTTACTTTGAAAATGCATTTAAAATTAAACAGAATCTGCTATACGAGGGTTAGTTTAGCCCCTTTGATTGGGTACAGGAGAAGTACTTTTTTATGTACATTTGCTATTCGTCTCAAATTTCTCCAAATTGTCTAGACGGCAACTTCTATCTCTGCTCTCTGCTTTTGTTTTGAAATCAGTAGATTATTCCAACATCGAACATTTATGATAATGTGTCTTGCATTTAGCAGTTCTCACATGTTACCGTCTAGGGCACATTTTTTTCACATGCGTTCCTGCAATGTTGGATGAAATGAACGATTCTTCCAGTCAAAAAACCAGTAATTTTTTTAAGCTTTAAATGTGACCCTTGGCTTTCTCTCTAGAACTTTACATTCCTTATCTGGTTTTCGAAGTTGTGGTATGTTAATTTGTATTATTTTCCTCGTTAACGTCCCTCGTTAATGCTTTCTCTGAATTTATCCGATCTATTCAACCTTGCCTATAATTCATCGCTTTTCTCTAGATAGCGTAGAATACATGTTTTACAAGGAAATTGTCGATCGAAAGTCGAATTGGTCACCTTGAAAGAGCTGCATACATATCGATGCAGCATAATTGACTTAAAAGTTGCTTTCCCTATCTGCCAAGCGCCTCTGTAAAGTTGTAAGCGGTTTTATTGCAAGGAAAATGTGTTTGTTTTGCCTTAACTGATGTACAGTTTTAAGGCCCTTCGACTTTTACCGTTTATTGTTGCTCATTGTTTGTTATTACAAATTTTATTCTTGTCGAGTTGTCTTCTCCTCTTTTGCTGCTTTTATCTCCATATATTTTTCTTTCGAGGTTTACTAAGTAGACAGGTTCGAAGTGGCTGAAAGCATTCAGAAAAAAGTGACTGATTCCATTAGGCGTTAGTTAGGAGTAAACACTATACTGCAAACGAAGTTGACTTTGTAGATGTGTTTCATGTCTGATTATGTTTTTTTGCGCTGGGTGTATTTTTTATTTTGCTGTTACGCAGTTTTTGTCCTTTATCTTGATTCGAACATCTCCTGTTGAACGGAGCAAAATTAAGAATTTGCGATTGAGAAATGTTGAGTTCGGGTTAGTTCTCGCAAGTGATTTGCTAGCACATTTCTTTCGGTAGGTGCAGCATCACCAGCTTCGAGTGAGCTCTCATCCTAATTTAAGGTCTGCTAGATAGACTGGCTCAAAATGGCTGGAAGCATTTGGAAAAAAAAGTGAATGATTCCAATAGCTGGCAAGTTAAGAGTTGTTACCTACTTTTTCCATGGGCGAAGTTACTTTGAAGTTTTGTTTCATCTCCGAACACCATAGTTTTTATGCTTGGTTATATCTTTTCCTCTCTATTGCTGGTGCGCACGTTTATGAATTTTATCTTGATCCGGACATTTGCCCTATTTTGCATGGAGCAGAATGAATAAGTTGCGACTTCTTGAGTTCATATTAGTTTCAAATGAATTGGCTCTACATTGCAGTTCTTTCAGCATCACGGTTTCGAGTGAGCTCTACTCGTGACTTTTTCGACAGTTAACATATTGTAACAAAGCGCAAATGTTCCCAGTGTTCTTTAGGAGCTCATGTGGAAGGTCCATTCATATCACCAGAAAAGAAAGGTTGTCATCCACAGAACCACATCAGAACGTTTGGCGATGATCCGGTCAAATCACTTGAGGAGGTGTGTGTGTAATTTCATTCACTTCCGGATAACTCAGATTGTAGTGCATTTAAGGTTTATGGGAGTTTAGAGAACGTGGCAACGGTGACGATAGCGCCAGAACTGGAAGGAAGCGAAGATGCTATCAGGTAATGAAACTAAACAATATTGTTACTCATTTTCTATGCTCTACGTTGCAGATTTTTAGCTGCTAGTGGGAAACTCGTGTCGCTAGGCCATTCCGCAGCAGGGCTTGTGGCTGGCGAAAGAGGCTTTGCTGCCGGCGCTAAGACTATAACTCACCTATTTAATGCAATGAATTCGGTTACATCTACTAAGTGATCTGTTTTGTAGAGCACTTTTATGATGATGGTCTGTTTAGTATCATCATCGAGACCCGTGTCTGATCGGCCTGCTTACATCGAAGATGTTGGGAAATCGCACGGTGTACTATGGAATCATCTCTGATGGTATTCATACGCATGACTCAGCACTGAGATTAGCTCATCGGTAGGTTATCCAAACGTATTCACTTATTTGCATTTTGGAGCAATGCATAATCATTTACCGAGCAGTTAATATCTTTTCCTGCGATACATGTTCCTCTTGCATGCTTTTTTAAAATCAAAATATCGATAAGTACGTCACAGGACAAATCCGGAAGGATTGATAGTAATAACGGACGCTATAGCTGCTTTGGGAATGGGTAATGGTGTCCACAGATTGGGCGATTGTGTCATAAATGTTAATGGGTTGAATGCAATCTTGGAAGGAACAAACACGACTGCAGGAAGGTATTCAATCTGTGATGCTTATTACCTAGTAATTGTTAGGTTTTGCTTGAATCAAGGTTTAATTTGAATTATACTCTGTCTCGTGCTCTCAAAGTTGTGTTTCGAATTTTTGAATTTAATTCAGTGTCGCCTCAATGCCATACTGTGTAAAACATCTGGCAAAAGCAGCAAGGTGCCCGCTGGAAGAAGCTTTGATATGCGCCACAGATAAACCAGGTGCGATATTTCCATCATGTTTGATGATTGAATTCTTTCTTTATAGCTACTTTGATGGGTATTCGAGATCGTAAAGGTGCTTTAACGGTGGGAATGGATGCAGATTTAGCGCTGATCACTGAAAATGTTGATGTGCTAGCGACTTACGTGCACGGAAATCTGGTCTATGCCCCCACAAGTGCTTGAAATCTGATTGTACGAACAAAGTTGTTCAGTTGTTCTTGATGATTACAGCTACGGAATTCTCATTGTGCAGATAAAGTATTAAGCTTGATTTGTGTTGTCTTGTGACAAGGTCATCTGCCATAATTTCTCAGTAGCTTGATTGCGATATTATCAAGCACAGTATTTTCTTTCGAGACTATGTCGGACGATGCGGAACAGAACTCGCGGGATAATAGCTTTGGTAATAATGGTGCCATCGCCGACGTTGATGTTGCGTCGATGAATGATGGGCGAGCTTTAGTACCGCCAGTTACACGAAGTGGAGATGTCATCTCGTGAGTTATATTTTTTTGTTTGTTTGGAATCTGTTTGTGTGCATTCATTGCTCAGGCCGACTAGAGCCGTTTTAACCTTATCAAAGTCGATGTTCAATGCTGGGTGCTTCTCTTTACCGTTTGCTTGGAAACTAGGTGGTTTATGGGTAAGAGTGAATTTTTGGAATTGGGTTCCTTGATTACTGTATACGCATTTCAGCCCGGAGGTGAAATGCGTATACAAAGTCAGATCTGAACGCTAAATTTCCTTTTTGTTCAGGTATCTTTCGTTATGTCATTTGTGATAGCCGGTTTTAACTGGTATGGAAATCACATACTTGTGCGTGCAAGTCAGCATCTGGCCAAAAAGTTAGCAACTGTTTATATTTTGCTTATAGCTTTGTGTCAGCTGAGTTATAATACTTCTAGATCGGAGCGTTCAGCGCTGGATTACGGCCATTTCGCCAAAAAAGTGTGCGACTATAGTGATATAAGATTTCTTAGAAATAACAGCAAAGCAGTAATGTGAGTTCACTTTATTAATTACACGAGTTTCTCGCCTGTCTGGTGGAGGTTTGTGTTTAGTAATGATTTCCTTTGTGCCATTTGATCTCAACTTCCGTTGGAATCGTATCTCTTGACAGAGCGCCAGTTGTCTTCTTTTGAAGGCAACGAGTTTTTCGAAACGTCAAGTTAGTAAACTACAGTTCCTACAGTTGGCACAAAAAAATTGTCTCTAAACACAAAGGCGTTAAGATTCAGTAAGTAAAACATTTGAAAACCCAAATTCTTTTCCCTTTATCGCTCTGTTTCTTACAGGTATGTGGTTAATGTAACAATATTATTCTACCAACTAGGTATGTGTAGTGTTGCAATATTGTTCATATCAGATAACATGGTAAGTCTCTGTTTTACCGTTGTGTTGATCATTATCCGGCTCACTAAGACAATGATTTAGGTGAACTTGTTGGGTGAACACGTCGCAGGTGATCAGCACGGAAAAATGACTGTCATGGCTACAGTTACTCTGGTATTTATCTTGGCAACGAATATGTTCACTGAAATGCGTGTCGTTTCCGCGTTTGCCCTCATTTCATCTGTTTTCTTCATCATCGGAGCTGCCGTTATCATGCAGTTCACTGTCAGGTATGCAGTAGAATTGTGTTAGCAGGTTTTCTAACCATCGCTCTTATGTGCAAGATAAATAAGAACCTATCATTTGGCTTGATTTCGAGCGTATCTGTGGACTTGTGCTCAAAATATACAGTGCAGTCAAGCGAAAACTCAGAGTGTGACTTAAGGCAACCTAATCAGTGGCGGAGTCTACCTGCTTCAACAAATTTCACTGGTACTATTATGATGATTGGTATGAGCATGTACTCATTTGAAGGACAGACGATGGTTGGTCACGATTATGATTCCTTACTTTAGTCCAGGTTGTCTTGTATTTTGGTCCAAGTCGTCTTGTTCAGATACTGCCAGTCGAGAACAAGCTTGAAACGCCCGAAGCATTTTTGGCTCCCAATGGTGTTCTTCCGACAACGATGATTATTTGTACATGTTTTATGACTGCGCTGGGTTTCTATGGCTATACTGGATTCGGAGACAAAATCGCGCCAACCATTACTACTAATGTGCCGAAAGAGGGGTCAGCATTTGCATATCTTGCAGTTTACATGCTGTTATCTAATGAATATGATTGCGATTCAGACTGTACTCAACAATTAATGTATTTCTGATGCTGCAATCAATGCTTGGACATTCGATTGCAATGTACGTAGTCTTCGACATGTTTTTCAATGGATTTCGAAGAAAGTTCTCTGCTAGATTTCCCAATTGTCCCAAGTTTTTGGTTGATAAGGTAATTTGGAAAAGTATGTTAAAATCGCGAACCTCGTATCAAGCAATGTATCTCAGGGATTTCGAGTATTCTGGGTGATGGTAACCTACTCGATGGCGGTCTTGATCCCGAAACTAGAGATCATGATACCATTGGTTGGGGTGACCAGCGGAACATTATGTGCCCTTGTCTATCCACCGATATTTGAAATGATCACATTTTGGACGGATTGGAAGGTGCAGTTTTGTTTTCATTAGCAGAGCAGTAATCTATTGTAATCTGCGCGTGAGTTATTTTGCTCTTGGCGAGTCTACCGCTCATCAAGCAAAGATTGAGTTTCTGTTCGTTCTTCAAAACTCTCGAATGGGACTCTTCTTTGTGAATTAAAATGTGTTACAGGGCCTCCTGACCTACCGAGAACGCATGTGCAAGATAGCTTTAAATTGTTTTGTCATCTGCGTTGGTTTCTTTGCTATCGCTGCGGGTTTGTACGCCAATGGCTTAGCCATTTACGAGTCATTTCACAATGATCTGTGATAATTTCATGTTTGGCATTTTACATAGTTTTACACATTTCTCTATTGATTTCCAAAGTTCTCATGAAAATTTTAATAATGTATGAAGTTGAAGTTGTAGACTCTGTAAAGTTTGCTGTGGAGTCAAATTTTTTACTGCAAAACCTCATCATCGGTCACTTGGGCGTCATGTTATACAAGTTCCTGCTGATCAGTATGACACTCATTGGCTCGGATTATATTGTCATTTAGCTTCACCCCCATAGCTTTTATGTCGGAACCATCTGGAATGGTCCATAATACCAACACATCTTGTTCTCTGGATCCACATACCTTTTTGATGATGATGAAATCTGATACTCTTGATATGGGATTTTGTTGAGATTGCTCTACCATCGTTAGCTTATATTTTGCCTGTGATGATTGTTAGAATTATTCAAAAATGTTCAATGCAAAAGAGAGGCTGAAAAGCAGACCAAGACTGTCATAGAGATAATTACCGACGGCCTTGTCTCCTTCGCTGTCCAGCTTTGCTAACTCTTACTTTTTAATTACTCCTTGCTGAATGTCTCTCTATGGTCGGCCTTCAGTTCGCTTTGTACGGTTTTTATTACTCTGCTATTGATGTAATAACTTATTGTCTCAATGAAAATTCTTTTGTTGTGAGTCAGTGAATGTGTACGAAATGCCTAGAGGGCTAATGAAAGTCCTAGTGAACCCAGATTTGACAATAGAAAGCGGCTTTTAAGTGTTAGCTATTAACTTTGGTGTTCGCAGTGGGTCGAACGAGTTTGAGGTAGCCGCAGAGACTGAGATAACGTTCCCGAAAGTGATTCTTGATATGCTTGATTGCTTGGCTAATAGGGCTCAGAGACGGGTTTTGGAGGATTCAATTAGCGGGCTAACACCCGTTGCTGCGTAATCATAACCAATCTTTTCTCATCTTCCGCTTGCGCAAGCGCGGCAAGTTATCCGTGGATTGTGGTTGCGCATGTCTAGCATTCATTTCTTATGTGTGATTTTCTTTACTTAATTGAGAAGCATTGCCGTATAGTTTAGTGCTCTTTAGAATAGGAAGCGAATTCATTTGATGCAAAATTCTCCGATTTTCATCTATCCTAGTATTGCTATTTCTTGCATAATTAAAGAGTTGACCTAATAGAGTATGTGAACTCTTTAGCCTGCTAAATCTTGAAAGATGTGTTGTTTTGTTCGTGTTTAAGAATTATTCCACTAGACTGTCTTCAAGAATTTAGAACCAAGCAGATGTACTTGCGAATAATTATTTCTATTCTTTCCATCTGCCCCTTTTCAGTATACACTGACAGCAATGTAGAAATAGTGCCAGGTATGTAAATTGTATTCATTTGTGCTCAAATGACGTCAAAATATCCGTTTTTGAAGAAGGTTGTGATTGTCGTGATTGGTATGGCGCTTGTCGAAGAGAAGGAGAAAAGTGGATAGATGACGAAACATGGGTTTACCAATGCAATAGACAAGATGGGTGGGTGGGTTTAACATAGAATATCAGCATAGGAAACCATGCAAAAAATTCTCTGGTGACTTTCTGAGACGACAATGAAGCAAATCCTACACTGACAAGGAAATGGTCAGAAATCGAAGTGGCCAATCCAAGCAAGCTGCATACCTTTCGATGCAACATAGAATGCTGATTTCAAATCTATCTTCCATATCTGCAGAGCGCCTTTGTAGGCGAAGTTATAAGCCATTAAAAGTCATTATCTTGCTAAGAAATTGTGCGTGTAAAGGGCAAACTTGGCCGTACAAAACCATTCTCGGCTCAGTGTTGGACCAACACATGCAACTAGGTCACTTCATATGGCTCGTACCTAGAGGTGAGCTAGAAGAGCAATGATGTGCGTAAATTCGCAGTTTTTGTGTACGATTTTTTCGCAGTAAAGCTGCTCATAACTTCGCCTACAAAGGCGCTCTGCAGATACGGAAGATAGATTTGAAATCAGCATTCTATGTTGCATCGAATGGTATGCAGCTTGCGTGAATTGGCCACTTCGACTTCTGACCATTCCCTTGTGAGATCTGTTTGCGTACGTACCAAATATTGCTATTTGAGCAGTGCAAGATATAGGAAAGTGTTCCATCAAAGCTGAGTCTCCTCCGAATGGATAGCAGCTGACGTTTACTGTGAAGTGACACTCAAAAAATCTTCTAAGCGTAAACCCTTCTCCGACATAATATCCAGCTCATAAAGTACCCCCTCCCCTCCCCTACTCTATAATCAAGTAAGGTTTTTCGCTAAAAGTTTGGCCAACAACCAATATGTCTTCCCCTGTTTTTTGTTTTCTTTTTTGTTTAGACAGAATCATGTTGAAAGAAGCGCGATCCACATGTTATACATAGTTCATTTATAAAATCGTGACGACGAATTTTGCTGCGGACTTTGCGCCCATCGGAGCATAAAACGCTCATACAAGAAGGCATCATCTCAACGTTCAGCTTAGTTACTTCCAGTATCTAAATATTATCGTACGTAAGCAAAAAACCATTCGACTAGAGATGAAAACCAAGAACAACCAAGAAAATGCAATTTCTGGAAGTGGCGTACGTGTCGCGCGCGGTCGCGCCATCGTCACGATTTTTTAAATGCCCTATACTTTCTACCTCAACAATTTGAACGTGCAACTGCACACAATGACGAATAAACCTTTTGGACTGTAAACTAATGCATGCGAGTGAATTGAACCTGAAAGCGCTACATGGGATCGCATGGGAGGCGAACCAACATTCACATTTGCTTCTTTTGAGATTTCGCGTCAGAAATCACTACTACCGCGGAATTTGAGAGCAACACAAAAACAAGCCAGTGAAGAATGGAAGAAAGGTCTCTGGCCATAACTTGCTCTAGAGTTCCAACATACGGGTGTGCACAACCGTGAGCTTCTAGGTTTACTGAGGTAGAAGAAAATGTTTCTCATGGTAAATTAACAGGAACTTGGAAAATTATCTAATATATAAAGAATCGCCAGCTCGATTCAAAAATCTTCCAATAGCGGGAAGCCGCGGCGGGTCACCGCAGGTGTAAAGCGAACTTCCCAGATCTAGCAGTTTTACATTACTGACTCACTAATTTGAAGTGTACCATTCGATAGACGAGAAAAACTTTACAAGGATGAACATAAGTCGTGATTAGCGCAAAGTGTGAAGGCGTCAAAAATCTGATCTTTGCGTCAGAAAATCCTAGGTTTCGAACTTGCTCTAGCGAGTAGCAAATCCATGCCCTTGTCCATATACACAATCACTGTATTTATTCTCATTATTGGATCGAGCAAAAATAGAGAGCGGAAATTAGCAAACTCTGCCCCCTAGCAGTCGTAGTTTCTTCCACATATCAGTCACGTCCTCCAAACCTTCGGATTTGATGAAATTTCGGCTTTGCACACTAGTTCCTGAGAAATATAAATTTATCCGTCCTCCTCCTTCAATAAAAACCCCTCGAAAGGCGACATTTTGTGACCCACAAACTGTCAAAGATGAATCCGGAAAAAATGTATTGAATTTGAATTTCCAATTGGTCAAAGTGTAGAAGCAGTTTAGATTCTACAGGATAGAGTGCTTCATATGCTACTTAATTCCTTTTAGAAGCGATGCAACGTTTGTAGGATGTGCTACTTCGACACCGACAAATGTACAAATACCAGTGGGTTCAAATAAGACGTTGGGACCACTGTGGCACAGTTGTGACGCAAACACGCTACGACTAAAATATGACTCAGGTAACTGCATGCGATGACTCGTCTATGCCCCTTGAAATGGATAAAAATTGAACCTTCATCTCTCAGTCCGTTAATAGTTGTGATTTTTTTGTTTTTTCGTCTTTTTGAGAATAGAACACATTGATATCCACGTAAGTCCATGTTTGAAATTGCGTTATCATTAGGGGCATCATCAAAATTTTTTTATCGCTTATCAGAGAAAACATGTAGGCGAGTTTTACGCCGCGGAGACAAGGCGCCCCTGCGGACTTTTCTTATTCGTCTTACCGTCTGCTGCTTCCTGCAAACACATACTCTCTCATTCAGGCGCATTTGCGACCAATCTTTGCGTGCATGACTCGATTATGCACTTGAAGTGGATGAAAATTGAACCTCCAAGTTAAAAGCTTTTTCTCGTGGAAACTGTGAGCAGTTTAGTCGTAGCTGAATTAAAACTCCTGGCAAGACGAAAACTCTAACACAAATTCTGAGACGAGTGCATTTGAAATCGATTTTCAATATCAAAGACAACCTCGTGCTGTGTCTCGTGAAGGAAATGTTAATAACACTGTAAAATTGATGCAAATCACCACAATTTGAGACTATTTGTCCCAACTAAATAGTTTCGTACTACCTAAGTTTTTGTTCAGAACCGCATTGTCTTGTCAAACGGGAGGTGAAAAAAGTACGATCCGAATTTCGAGATGGACGATTTCAATGGCTATGCCTTGAGACTGGACGATGGGTTGTCGGTACTGCTAGACATATGCAGGTGAAGATGGACCCGAGAATCATTTTTAGGTTGTTACTATGCTAATGAAACTCATCCTGATGCCTATCTAAAAATCGGAGAACATGGCTACAACGGGCTTATCAAACACGTATGCGACCGCTATGCGGACTACCCAGGGCGTGTCCAGTATTATGCAGAGGTATGTTTTGTTTTGTGTTCCCGGAAATTAGGGTAGATTATAAAACGGCGCTTTAGGTGCGAAAGGATGTCCATGTCAAACATCCAACGAACAAAGGAATCAACAAAAACTTTCCAGAGCCAGCTGATCTAAGGATCCAAGACAAGGTAAAGTCTACAGCCTTCAACATATATGTAGTTGAAGAGTCATTAAATGAGTTGTGAAACAGAACTATACATCAAGCGAAAATGACTTTCGCAAGAAAAGGATACTAAGTTGATTCAATCGTTTATATGAAGACATATATGGTTCCTGTCGGTTTGAACGCTGAGTTCGAATGTGCATTCACTATCTGCTGAACGCTTTTTCGAAAAGAGTTATGACCATATTTATCAAACCGCATGACTAGCTTCCCACGGATTTGAACCTGCCACTACTTCCCTTGAAAGCGCCACGCTTACCACTTCACCAACCTTGCGTTGATGAGAGTTTTTCGCTCCTTACATAATCCCAACAGGACCTGCAGTTAAAAAATGGTAATTTCAAAGGACCCTTTAGCAGATGGTGAATGCGGATTTGAGCTTAACGTTCCAAAGCAAGATGAACCGTATGCATCTTGTTACAATCGGCTAGATCGACTTAGTATCCTTCTCTCCAAAACAAAGCGAAGTTGTAACATAAAAAATTTCAAGACGGAATCACTACAAGCTACACTTGATCCAAAGCAACACTCGTCCTACATCTAACTTATTGTAGGAATCTATAAGTAAGTGTAGCTGTAACCAGAGCAGATAGTCAACATCATCAACATACTGCGGAAATATCTTTATTTTGGAATAAGCTGGTAAAGTTTATTACAGAAGGGTGAACCATTATACCATTGCTTCGTGTAAAGATTTTTTTGACTTTTTTTCTAGAAACACTCTCAACAAGAACTAGAGCATAGAATTCACTTTTGACCTTGCAATTATCAAATTTATTTGTAAAATGAGTTCAGAAAGTCTGTGCTTGATTTTTTAGAAAGAGGGGAGCGTTTAGGATATTTGAAATACATTTTCAATGCTTTCAGGTGGGCCGCTGGCTGCACGAGAGCGCGTCGATGTTCATTGCTAATGAGGAAATTCTCAGAGGAAAAGTACGATACTTGCCAGCATCTAGACGACAGTGGCCAACTGGTGATCACTGATATTAATTTGTAGATATTCCAGGTTGTACATGATTGTAAATATTGAATAAAATTCGAGAATCAAGGTGATATATGGAAAACAATATCCACAAAAAATGGTGCCACGTTTAGCAATTCATAGTTTTCCATGAACACAATTCTAAAACCAAAAAATGCGAGTTTCAAATATTTTCACGAGCCATCGAGTATCCAAAATCGATCCGTTCCCCACATTTTCTTCGTTTCTCTCAAAGTTGTACTCTGCTAGCAGTAAAACAAATATAGTGTGCGGTCTCGCCAACGCGCAATATTTGTTTCTGGTTAAGCCCTCATCACCTATTCGTACGTTTAGCTTAGCTGTGTCTGGAGTAGCAGCTCTTCTCTCCATTTGCCACCTACAATAGAAGGGAAACTCATTTTCTCACCCGCTTAGCGAATTCTTTGAATGCAAATGCTTAGTTATTAGGGTGAACGGTAAAAAGTGGGACACTTACGAAATAACTGGAGGTTTCTCAAGAGTGAGAAGCGATTAGACTTTCCAATTTTGATAGATGTTAGATTATGTTATTCTCTTGCAGATAATATCTATATAAGGTCATTTACATAATTAATAACTTTTATACTTACTGAAATGCAAAATCAGTCACCTCGATAAATTATGAAGTTTGAGCAGTATCTGCGCAGTGAAACATGTGAGACCACCCAAAGTACCACTGCTGGAGTGGGTGGTGGTACAGTCACTAAATCCACGACGGCTTGGTGGTCTCAGCTTGCAAAGTCAGGAGATACAGCCATTAGCAGCTTTGAGAACATAGATACGCGTTATTCAATTCCTTCCAGGTGAATGCATGTTTTCTAGGTACCATCTGATAGAGCTTTTTACGCTCTATCCATCCATTTGCAACTTACCTCAGATTTTATCTATCTTCGGAAAATATAGGGCGAAACAGGATTTTTTTGGTTTTTTATTGCGCCATAAATAGCCACTTTTCAAGTTTTTTCGCTTTTTTTTCTAAAATTGAAAGAAAGTCTTATGCATTTAACATATCATTTGAAAGAGCATGAAAAGCTCTTTCGAATGGTATGTCATATACTTGACGATCTTACGGTATAGCAGCGCAAGATTGAGAATTGTTCCAAAGACCCTGTCTGAGTTCTTCACGGCGCCACGCGTACGGTTATGAGAGAGGAGCGGTAACGCGTTGCCAGAATAATAGGCGAAGGTCGTTTATGTAAACGACATTTAAGTTGTAGCCTGTTGTTGTTGGTGAGAACAAAAAACCTCAAAATGTAAAAAAAATCAAGCTGTCCCATTTTTTACCGTTCACCCTAATAAATTGAGTGGTAAAAGGTAATGATGTCATTCTTTGGCTTAAAAGTCAAGGACTAAATTTTCTGCATGCAATTGCTCAAATAGCTTTAGTGCTGAGAAGTAATGATGTCACTCCTGCTCCTACCTTAAAAGTTGGAGGAATGTAGCCGAAGTCTAGCTTTTGCGTCTTCATTTCTTCTGAGTTGTCTTGGAACTTTCTAGAAAGATCCATCTCTATTTTGTATTTGCACTTGATCAACATTGTTATCAGCTGTGAGTTATTGTCGACACAAAACAAAGCACTGACTTACACCTGTACTTCGAAAGTTTCAAATTTATATGAATTATGAACGTGAACTTTCTCCTAAACTTACGAGTACACTGAAAGTGTGATGCATATGTCAAGCAACTTTTTCTGACAGTTTTTGGCATGAGCTTTATGACGATCTTCTCTCTCCTTTTCACATTCTTTTGAGAATGCAGTATCTATTACACAACCTAAAAAGATTGATAATGTATGATTTTTGAGACGCACGCGTTTTGACCTTTAGATAAGCCCATTTGCAAAAGGATCTATAGCATTCTGTAGAAATAGGAAAAAATCACTGAGAAAGATGACATCATACGCCGACCATGGGGTTCTCAGTAGCATTTCCGCTACTCTGGCTATCCAGGCCATTATGGCTCCTTCTTTGAGTTGCTGCATGTCGAAAAGGGCCATTATAGGCCCAAGGTGTGATGGAGGTCTTCCGGTGGCTGTCTATCAGCTGGCAGTAAACTCTTTGCCGCTTTCAGATTCTAGCGTTCTTTGCCTGTGTATAGATCTTGTAATCTCAGAACAAAATTATAAGAAAAGGATAGCAAAGTTTTTTGGAGTAGTAAAGTTTAGGTATGACAAAAAACATGTTTTCTAATTCGCTGTAACTGTTTGATGATCATTATCCATCTTTGCTTATTCCATCACATAAAATTCACTCCATCTGAATTTCATGATTTTCTCGATGATTATCCTACAGCAATACGTCAAAATCAGCATAAAAACTTCATGCGAACGCAAGGTGATGTATGGCTCTTGGATAACGAGTAGCTTACATTCTCTTAAGACAATGACTTCATTCTTGTTCCTCCTCATTATTACTACTAGTATAACATGTTATCGAAGAATTTGACTTATTATTTCTTCAGTTTCAAAAAATGTAATAATGAATGTGAGAGTTTCTAGACAATTTACACCATTTCAATATGAACTCCGAAGAATTTCGAAAGTATGGCAAAGAAATGGTAGATTTTGTTGCTGACTATTGGGAGAATATACGAGAACGACAGCCTTTACCGAATGTAAAACCTGGATATATCAGCGCTCTAGTGAGTCTAAAAGATTGGTCCAAAACTTGTGCATTTTGAATGCATAAAGATTCTTGCTTATTGACCGTGCCGCTTTAGGTACCACAAAAGCCTCCGGCTAAAGCTGAGGAGTGGGAATCAATCTTTAAGGACTTGGAAGAGGTTGTCATGAAAGGTGAGTAAACTACGCCAAACTACTGCCATATCTAATGCTGGTGTTTCATATTAATCACACCTTGGGGCGTTCCTTGTCCATTTCTTTTCATAAATCCATGGCAGCGCTTGGCACCTAAGGGACTAAGAGCCATTCATCTGATAATTTGATTGCTTTGAAAGGCTTTTTGGTATTTCAAGTAAGCTCTTTTTGTCGTCACTGAAATGCACCTGACAGCTTTGAAATCATCCAGAAAAAAATTAATGAATATTGGAGATGAATTCGATGTGGCGAAAACTCATGTAAGGGCTCAATATGCCGCTTGGGAGTATGCATGCTTCTGTGCCTAAAAATCCCACACTTTAAGTTTTTCTTTTTAGGAAATACATACTGGCAACATCCACACTTCTTCGCGTACTTTCCAACAGCATGCAGCTACCCAGCGATAATGGCCGACATTCTAAGCGGTGGAATTGCTGGCATAGGCTTCAGCTGGGTTTGTGAACTCATAAATGGAGGTTCAGCTGATAGTAAAGTGCGTTTCAGAAATCTGGACCTGCGATGACTGAACTCGAAATGGCAACATTGGATTGGTTGGTGGATATCCTAGGTCTCCCGGATCATTTCAAAGTATGTTGCGTTTTATTTTTGAAACAATCTTGGTTTCATACCATCAGGCTGATACATAAGTTTTACACTAAAATTGATGTGAACACAACAACTTACGTTTTAAACAAATTTTTTTCATTTCGACATGGAAGAAAATTATGTTATTTTAGTGGTGTAGCAAAAATTGTTGCTGTACAAGTTGATAAAAGAAAATACTACAATAAATTTAAGAGGTTTACAGAAATGGTAAATCCTAATTCAGACATTACTCTTGGACTTGCTTTCATGGCCTACTCTTTCTAGAAGAGAAAATCATATGTCGGAGATCTCTCCAATGGTTGAATTTGTCGAAATTTTTTTTCTAGACTTCTTGATTGTTCCATGTTGATCTCTAATGTCCACTATTATACATTTCTTACAAACAAAGGGTACGTTTAACAGATTGAAAGAAATTCTAAACTCTTTCAAATGCTTAGATTCATATTTATATGAAATACGTAAAGTAGAACGATGTTCTACTATGAACAAATACAATAATTAAGGCATATTTTGGCAGAAAACTTGTGTGTCAACATAAAAGATTAATGATTTTAGCAAATAATAGTGACTGTAAAAAATTTAGAATTCGCATCCTGGCCCAGGCACTGGCATCATCCAAAACACAGCGAGTGATGCAACAATGATTGCTATCATGGCAGCAAGAGCAAGAGCGGTCGAAGTAAACATAAGCATTTTGCCATTTTTTGCTAGCGGATAACTACTGTCATTTATAGGCTCTAAAAAACGAATCAAATTCATTCTTCTCTTGGATGACTAGCACAGAACTAGGAAAGTCTGTGAAATCCATACTATCGAAAGTACGACAGGAAACGGTACTGCTAACTTAGGCTTAACTTAGGCAATGCTCGAAGACAAAAATATGATTCCAGATTGAAGAGGAAGAAAATGGCATCATATATCCTTATTACCATGACCCAGCATTATTCGAGAAATTGATTGCCTACTGTTCTGACCAGGTACGTCGAAACATCATTGCAATTTAAAAAATTTCACTCCTCACAAAGGCTATGTTTGTGCCAAAACTCCTTGACCATTGAAGTGAGCACCTCTAGCACTACTTTCGACTATTTCTTTAGAGAGATGTGCAAGTGACTTGTTTTTACTCATGAGTAAGTAAACTTCGAATTTTTTGAAATAATTAGCTTTGCAGAAAAATCTTCTGAGCCTCTTGGTTCGTAGCCTTAACCACGCTTCCTTTTGCATTCTGGTTTTACGCCCACTGAAATAATAGGAAAGCATGTAAAGAAAATTGGAATGCATGCTGAGCTTCTGTTGCCCTTCCCTCCTGATTGCAAAACTCGTATCCAACTCATCCTTAGCTATCACAATTTATACGAACACTCCATTTCACAGTTATTTTTTTGCAGTTGAAGGATTGGAAGTGCCACCCCTACGAATACATGCATGCATAAGAAAATATGCTAAGCTTTCCGATCTTACCACTACCTATAGGTTGCTGCATGAAAGGCGCAATATCTTTGGGTGCAAACGCGGCTTTATTAGCCGCAGAGCGCACGAGGCGCAGGATTTACAACGGTGATACGCGCGCGCAGCGTCCGCGCTCGCTCAACTAATACTGCTTCTGTGCGTTCGTCCTGCAGTAACCTTTATGTCTATTTACAGGCACATTCATCAGTTGAGAAAGGTGCGATGCTTTGTGGAGTCAAACTACGAAAGCTAAAAAGCAGTGTGGATCCTCAGTTGAAAAACTTCACCATCACAAAGGAAACGCTCGAAGAAGCCATCAAAGTATGAAGGAGATCGCACATGTTAGAGACTGATAATCCTAATAATTCCTATCTACAGGAAGACAGAGCTCTCGGTCTGATACCGTTCATTATGATTGCGACATTGGGCACCACAAGCACATGCAGTATGGATAGGCTGGACGAATTGGGGCCAATATGTAATCGCGAGCAGATTTGGCTACATGTCGATGCCGCCTATGCAGGTGGGAGGCCCTCAAACTGATTTCTTTGAGAATTTGTGTGATTGCACACAACATCTAAATCGAAAAAAAGGCTTGTCAAAACTTGCATGCCGGGACTTTGCAATAGACAATTTAACACTGGGAGTTGTTGCGTCTCACCAAGATAGTACATGTTTGGAGAGACAACAGGCGGCTAGAGGAATGAGGGCGCGTTTAGTTTAGGGACGTCGATAGCGTCCGCAATCACGTCCCGTCCCTGCGTGCGATTGATCCCTTTCAAATGCATACACTGCTAATTTTTTTTACCAGGATCATTCCTCATATGTCCTGAATTCCGCTATCTGTCAAAAGGAATAGAAATGGTTGACTCGTTCAATTTCAACGCACATAAAGCGATGCTGGTAAACTTTGACTGTTCACCAATGTGGTAAGTCTCCCAACCATTCAAAAAAGTATTTGATGCAAACTTTGCAAACTTACAGGCTTAAAGATGGTACTACAGCGGCTAAATATTTCAACGTCGATCCCGTATATCTCAAACACGAACATCAAGCAGTGGCATCCGACTATAGAGTAGGAGGCAGAATTCTGTGTGATCAAGAGATAGCAAATTACTTTTTAGCATCTTCAAGTTGCATTGGGTAGACGGTTTCGAGCCTTAAAAATCTGGTTCGTCTTGAGAAAACTGGGAATTGAGTTTATACAAGAGACATTAAGAAGAGTGAGTCTTTTGGCATCTTTATCCATAAATCACGAGAAAGGATTGCTTCCAGCAAAACAACCAAGCGGTGCTGTTTGCAAAATTAGTGGAGGATGACGACGTTTTCGAACTGTTTGTACCACAACATCTCGGATTAGTCTGTTTCAGGATCAAAAATGTATTAACATCTCTAGTCTCAGGCCGGCGTTGATGCCTAATCTTATGTTTTTAGAGCCAAAATCAGGAAAACGAGGTCTTATGCGCAGCGATCAACGACGACCATCGTATACACTTGGTTCCATCAAAGGTAAGGCAAGGCTATTGCCTGGCGAAGGCGCAAAAGCAGGGGTAGAGGACTATATGTCGCCGAAAAAGGGCGGTCCCCGCGGTCATTTGCGACAAATACGCATCCTTGTACATGCACGGACATGCGCTCCTGCAGGGAATCCGTGCGGGACTCTTCCAAATTCGGCGACATATAGTCCTCCACCCCAAAAGCAGCACTAATGGAGAGAACGCACGCGGCGCGCGTATCTTCAACGTTGTAAAAGATGCGCTTTATGCGCTCTGTGGCCAATAAAACCGCGTTCGCGCCCCTAGGTTTTGCTTCTTCGTCCAACAGTTGCCTATACACTAATCGGGAAAATTTTTCGGCCTCCATGAAGCAAGGAGAAGATTTAGCCATGAGAGGAGCAAACATATAGCTCATTCGTTGACCGCACGGACTGGACATCACTGCGGAGCACGCGCCGCGAGGTAAAACGCTTGCCTCATACAAATTTGTCATTGTACAAATCGTGCTCTCGCTTATCCGCGCCGCGCGTAGTCCGCAGCGTTTGAGCAGTCCGTGCGGCAACGAATCAACGATACTTGAGCCACTGATGACAACTGATATGTGATAGTGTACTGGTGTATGTGCATAATGTAGTCACGGTTTGTCGTATATTAGTCACTCGATGATGAAAAAACAACAAAAAAAATCCAGATCCTCGGACATCAAGATGTAAAATATATAGATTTTTTCCTCTTAACCGGCAGGGATTTTCATTGGTGCCGCTCTTAAAAATGCCATTTTATGTTTTGTTATAGACATTATACTATGGTTTGCATAACAGTCACATTTATTTTCAGGCACACAACACATTTTTTCTACGCTTGGCTGTTTGCAGCCAACTCGCAACTGAAGATGACATACGTTATGCTTACAATGTATGCAAGGAAGTTCGTATAAGATTACTAGAAAATGCATAAATGTTTTGTTGCTTGATTGCTCTTCTGTAGTGTTAATTCGATAATTCACGGGCCTTAACGCTAGCAGCGATCAGGTTCACGACATCGTTTCGTCCCGATCCAAATCGGGACAGACTGTATCTTGCAGCTCCGCAGCATCTTCTTGTAACGCAGGTCAACATGATAGGCTCGCGTAAGTTTTAAAGTTGTGAACTTACAAGGGAAGGATAAGTGGTGGCCGTGGCCTTTTGGAATATTTTATACTAGCTGGTTTACCCGCTCCGCCCGGCCCTGTCAAAACACTGTATTAAAGTCCCATCCCTCCCTGTACAGCCTTTCCCTGTGCCCACTTCTACACTTCATTTCCCGTTCCATGTGTTGTTTTTAAAATCAGCATGCCCACTTACCTCCCCTCCCCTGTGCCAACTCCCAGCCCTTCAGCTCAAATTTTGAAAAAATCGATAAAATCGATAAAAGTAATAGGCAATACCAAAAACTAACACTGTATTCGGAATCGCCATGCTCACTTACCCCACTGTGCCAACTCCCAGCCCCGTAGGTGAACTCTGGAAAAAACTCTATAAAACTCGATAAAAGTAGCCTACGACACCCGCCCCGCCCGAAGTGTATGGTGTCAAGTTTGGTCCGGATCGGTTCGAAATAAGATTTTCTATTCTGAACATACGTACATACCAGTGGCGTACCGAGGGGCGGGGAGGCGGGGGGGGGGGGGGGCGCGCCCCCCCCCCCGAGAACGGGTCCTGAAATTTTTGAAAGTTACTTATATGGGTTCCCCCACAATGGTCGGTCGCCTCATCGTGGCGTGGGGGTGACACTGGGTGTCGAACTGCGATGCACAGCCGAGTGTATACTCTGGTAGGGCCTCCCAAGCTGTGAAGGAGTTCGACGTTTCCGGTTTCGGCCGGATGCCTAGCTAAGAACTGGCCGCGCCAGATTCTCCGCCGTCTGGCTTCTTCTGGTCGCTAGGCGGTCCCTCCCCGCTCCAAGCCCGGGGTCAGCGATCACCCCGTGGAAATCAAGAGTAGGCCTAGTAAGCCACCTCTTGTAGGGGAACAAATTTTATTACTCAGACAGCAAGAAGATTTAGAAAAAACCCTGTACATCGGATCCCGCCTACGGCGCCGGGTGGTAGCAAGAACGATGTCAGGGTACTCAGGGCGCCTTTCGGATTGGACAAAACGACACGTCTGCCCGGACGACACGCCATGGAGACTGCCTCATGCTCTGCACTTACAACGCCAGGACAGTCTCCACAAACGCCGACCTCCACGCTCTTCTCGACGCTGCAGAGCACATCAACTACCACATCATTGCTCTGCAGGAAACGAAGTCCAGGAAGAAGGACGTGCGACAGATGAGTGATGGGACTCTCATCATTCGTGGTGAAAAGGTTCCATCACGAAATGTGGGAGGCGTCGGCTTTGTCGTCCACCCATCTATCGTCCATCTTGTCGATTCGCACGAGATCCTATCACCTCGACTAGGCATCCTACGACTACGACCTCCACATCAGAAGACCATCAGCATCATCAACTGCTATTCTCCAACATCAGCAGCTGACGAATCAGAACTAGATGCTTTCTACGAAGATGTGGAGGAGGTCGTCCGCAACGAGAAGTCCTTTTACAAGTTTGTTGTGGGCGACTTCAACGCGAAAATCGGGATGCCACTGGAAAGGGAATATAGGATCGGGAAGTTTGGATATGGGCTCCGGAACGAAAACGGCAACCTTCTTGTTGGGCTTCTCTCCGCCGCACGACTTTTCCATGGAAATTCCATCTTTATGAAGAAGGAACATCGCCGGTGGACATGGGAATCGCCCAACGGAACGACCCACGCGGAGATCGACCACATTCTCACCAACCGAAGGTGGAGCTTACTCGATGTCTCTGTAGTTCCATCCTTCTGTAGTGGCTCCGATCACCGCCTCCTTCGAGCGAAGATACGACTTAGCCGAAGGCTGGAAAAGAAAGTCTGTCATAGTGCCGCGAGAAGGAAGGAAGTCGTCTATGACGGTAACAGGCTGGAAGAGCTCATATCAAGTTGTGACTGGCCCATCGAGGAGGACCCAACGTACGACCACGACCGGCTTCTGGAAAGATTGCGAGCCTGCGGAGAATGCGCCTCAGTGACTTCTGAGAAGAACTTGGACCGCATCTCGAAGACCACCAAGGAATTGCTCGAAAGAAGAAGATCATTGAGGCAGGATCCGAATGCAACTCATCTCGAGCGACTGATTGCCAACACCAGTTGCAGAACAGCTTTGCAGGAGGATCTCAGGAAGTACAGGCAAGCCAAGATACTGGAAGCAGCAGAAAGAAGACGAAGTCTCAAGAAGTGCCGAAGGGACCTCTGCGAATATCACGTACCGCTGGCTGCACTACTGAACCAAGACGGGACTCCGACTTCTTCCCGATACAAGATGGAATCTATCGCGAAGAACTTCTACACCAACCTCTTCCGCTCATCAACACCCGTGCAGATGCCCGTTGTTCCCACTGGAGAAGTACCACCACGAATTCTACCTGCTGAAGTGCGTATCGCGATACAGACCATGAAGACGTCCACGGCTCCAGGACCAGATCATCTTTCCGTCGAACTTCTGCGAGCCGGAGGACACCGTCTACACGAGATTCTAGCGTCGCATTTGACATCTTACCTTCAGCAGGAGAAGATTCCCGACCAGTGGAGAACGTCAAGAACCGTCCTTCTCTTCAAGAAGGGTGAACGGGAGGATCTTCGGAACTATCGTCCAATATGCTTGCTGAGTGTGCTGTACAAGCTTTTCACGAAGATTATCCTCGCTCGCATATCAAGGACACTGGATGAAGCCCAACCCCAAGAACAAGCTGGATTTCGCAAAGGATTCAGCTGCATGGACCACATCCAGACCGTTTCGAGGGTCATAGAAGTCTGCCGGGAGTACCGACTGCCTCTCGTCCTAACCTTTGTCGACTACGAGAAAGCCTTCGACAGCGTCGAAACCAACGCCATCCTGTCTGCGCTAGTCGATCAAGGAGTGGACCCAGCTTACGTGAGGACGTTAGCCGACTGCTACAAGGACTGTACAACGACGATGCAGCTATTCCATCGCCCCCTGACCATACCAATCGGGAAGGGGGTCCGACAAGGCGACACAATCTCGCCGAAGCTGTTCACCGCGGCCTTGCAGTGGGTGATGAAGTCACTGGACTGGGACGAGAGAGGCATACGAGTTGATGGGAGATTCCTGTCCAACCTTCGTTTTGCGGACGACATCGTTCTCTTCTCGAGCAGTATCACCGAAGCAGAGACGATGCTGAAGGAACTAAACGAAGTAGGGAAGAAGATCGGACTGCGAATAAATCGGAAGAAGACTCAGTTCATGAAGAACGCCCTTTGCGAAGATGCAGAAATGGAATTGGAAGGCACCCCGATTATGGAGACGTCTTCCTACGTGTATCTCGGACGTTCGATGAACATGGAGAACGACTTGAGGGAAGAACTTAACAGGAGAAGAAGAGCAGCCTGGGCCGCCTTCGGGCCCCTGAAGGAAGCCACCGACCAACTGACGGACCCGGAGCTTCGTGCCCACCTGTTCGACTCAACCGTTCTCCCGGCGCTCTGTTACGCAGCTGAGACTTGGGCCGACACTGTAGCCACGTCGAAAGCTTTACGGACCACCCACAGAGCGCTCGAGCGCAGTCTTCTGAAGATGACCCGACGCAAGCAACATCTAGTCGGACTTCGCAGCACGGATATGAGAAGAATGTCCCGTCTTCGTGACCCAGCGGAATACGTCGCGAAAGCCAAACACCGATGGGCCGGTCACATAATGAGAAGAACAGACGACAGATGGACACTAAGAACATCGGAGTGGATTCCTCGCGAAGCCAAACGTCCCCGAGGAAGACCTCCAACGAGATGGGCAGACGTGTTCGTGGAACGGATGGACCAGCTGAGAAATCAGCTGGATACGATTTTTGCACCTGGAACTCGTGGACGCAGCCACCGACGTCAGCCAAGAAGATCGTGGATGTCAGAAGCGAGGGACAGGGAAAAATGGAAACTTCTGAGCTGGGGCCCGCACGTCACGTGAAGCCGGGCCATCTAAGTATCTAAGTAAGTAAGTACTTATATGGGTTATAAAATTGTGCATTGACTTGTCTGCACTTGCAAATAATTAAAAGTCGCGGACCCGCAAAAATTTTGAGAAACACCCCAAAGATTTTTTTCGAAGTGCGTGGCTAACGCCACGCACCTTCATTAAAAAATTTTTTTGTCGTGCCCCCCCCGAGCCGAAATCCTGGGTATGCCACTGGTACATACATACATACAGAAATACAGACAAACAGGCATTCAGCTTTATATATAAGATATCAAAATGATTGCCTTGAAACGCTGATCTCGAAACTATCTTGTTAGCTGCAGGACGCTAGCTGCAGACCGAATCCACGCCAGCGCTGCACGGCGCCGAGCTAGCGCCGAGCTGGCCTGGCGCTGTTTCGATCGATACACGTGCATTTCGTTCGAGGTGGGGCTAGCTGACCCTGTGCCGGCAAGGCGCTACCGGAGCTTTTAACAGAGATTTTGATTATAGTCGGTGCATTTACCTGGCTGAGAACTAGGTCAGCTAGCCCCGCCCCAAACGATATGCACGCGTATCGATAGAAATAGCGCCGCGACAGCTAGGCACTAGCACGCACTCTGGCGGCCTAATGTACCTCTCTTGTATGTGTAAATCATCGGAGAAATTAGATTTACCATGAAAAGGGGCCAGAAAAGTTGAAATCATCAGCAGACATGCGCTATATTTCTCTGGTCTGTGCCTTTTCACTATTCCGTAACAGGCGCTACACCTCTTCGTGCGCGCTTGAGCTGCTGCGACCCAAGGGTTGTTTCAGACTGCCGCACTGACCGCAGCAGACTGCAGCAGACTGCAGCTGACCGCACTGACTGCAACGACGCAGCAGCTGAAGCCTAAAGGTGGAGAGGCCAAATAGTTGTGGCTCATTCAAACA